TGTATAATTTACAATAGTTTCTATCAGTGCAAAATTCCATCCATATGGATCACTTTGATTAGTCAGACATGACCTGCCAATTCAACAATCATAAATAAAACATCCCTAAATATATATGAAAGACACTTGAGGCAGAGAGAAGATGGCAAACAGTATGATAAATCTAAAAGCCCTGGCTCTGACATGTACTAAATATCTGGGAACTGATACAGCCCTAGCAAAAAATAATCTCCTGATATCAGCAACCATTTTCAATTTGTGACAAAAACGTAAAAAAAACCTACCTGATCCGAAACGAAAGATTAACCATTTTATAAATGAACTGAATCTTCTTGAAATACAAGTCCAGCAACCAACTACATCCATTTTCATAGAATTGTCATTAAATTATTGTGACCATGAAATGTTAAAGAAGCCTTATTAAGGATGACAATTTCACCAAACACTCTCAGATCATGAACAACGAAAGCGAAAGAAATGAATGTTGACAAGCATGTTGTTATCTTCTTAGTTTGTGTCAAATGAGTTGAGAGAATGAAGTAAAATAGAAAGTATATTCAGGCAGTATATATATTAAGTTTAGATTATAATATTATTGATTTTACCAGTTGACAATCTACGCCCAGGAACAGCTGTTCATATTTCATCACTGATGCAATTTAAAGGAGCAAGTTGGAGACCATTGAATTCATAATCTATGCCTCTGTACGAAATTTTCGCAGTTGTTTTAAGTAAAAGGGTATAAATTTCATAGAATTAGAGCACCAAACAAACAGAGCTATTCCAGATGCTGATTCTTTCAGAACACTTCATTTAGTGCAGAAAGTTCACATAAAAATATGTCAATCATATATCAGAGTTCAAGAGATAACAAATCATTCAGCTCCAATAAAAGCAGGACTCGTTGTTTATTTGTATTTTCCAGTCATGTCTGATATAAGGGTCTATAAACAGATATAGTTCTAGTCTATAGGTTACATCAGACTTGACTGTCCAAAAGGGTCATATATATAACATGTTTAGAAAATATCTTTTCATTTCTTTAACACCAACTGGTGTTGATAGAAAAGGAAAAAAATATTACTGAAACTATGCAATATAATTCCAACTTAACCACAGATATGGAATATTGTTTGTTTTTACTATGGAAACCAAAAACCAAAATACAGTATTCATATCAATGTGTAATAAATTTATTGAAAATATAACCGACCATTACTGATATTATAAATATTCAGTAAGAAAAAACATTCTATTGTTATTAAACATAAAAGAGAAATATGAAAAAGGTTAGGTATCAATAACAAAAACTTGTTTATGGAATTTACCTTTTCAAATTCAATAAGTTTGCTATCTAAAGTTGTGCAAGGTTGTTATTCTTAGTTGGAAGTTTGTTTGAAACCGATTTTATGTTTAAAGATTAAAATACATTTACAATAAAAGGAACAAAAGCTGACAGAGAAAAAAATCAGATTCCAATGTTAAAACTCTCTATCTTATGATAACAGCTAATATTATTAAGAATAAGATCAAAGCTTGGAATACATTTGCGATTAAGAGAGAAATGAAGTTTTCACAACAACTATATTACAAGAATATAGCAACCAGTCTATTGAAGTACAGAACGGTAATTACTAATTCTGGATCTATTCCAACTTTACTTTTTACTCATTACAATTTCACTGCCAAACAATCTTAAATTCATGTCATAACAATATATTGATGCAACCACTGAAATAACTCACAACACCTTGAATGATATTTGGGTCCAGTTTCTAAGAATAAATATTTTTAGTCTAGAATAACAGACAATTCTTGTAAAAAAAATGGAACAATTGTTAACAATTGAAAATTAACTAAATACAGAATTCACAGACACACCAGAGACAGATCATTACCATAATTTCTTGCTTCTGGTTCATCCAGACTAGGTTATTGGTTCAAAATATACCCTTATTACCCAGTATATATATAATTACCATAATTATTCAAGACCACACCCCAAAGTGACAGAATAGTCAACCTGGTGATGGTATTCACTCTGCTGCAGAAGTAGAATCCCCGGTGTCCATATCAATGCATTATTTGCTCAACCTTCTTAAAATTTCCTATCAGAGAGAACAAAAAGCCAATTTAAAGCTATGGTGCATTTCTTCCATCTCAAATAAATATCTTGATATCTAAAAATGGAATTGATTTCTTTCAATTTCTCTTTTTCTAACCAAAACATTGTTCCAAATAAATAGGTGTCTTTAACGCAAAATTGTTGTTCACCTAGTAGAATCAAAGATTTTTGGCACTTGATTTATAGGAAACTAGGAAATGAAATACTTTTCTGGACCATGTGGACTAATGAAGCCTATTAAGGTTACAATGAGAAAAATTTTGCCAGGACAGCAGCATTTCCCTGCTCTTTTGCAATTTTCATCTTCTTAATCTTTAATGTGCACAGTCTGTAGCACACAGGGTCTCGGTTTAACATATAATTTTTAAATTTTTTTTAGAAAAGTAAGCTTATAATTTGAAATAGGGATTATAACTTTTGTAGATTTCTATTTTTCATTTGCACTCACACATGATGCATCCCGCTAGATATAGGTAATTAAAATATTACATACCAGTAATGTATATATGTATTGTATTAGGGGGGAAACCACTAGGGTGGAACTTGTATTAGGGGGAAACCACTAGGGGTGAACTTGTATTAGGGAGGAAACCACTAGGGTGGAACTTGTATTAGGGTGGAAAACACCTGGGTGGAACTTGTATTAGGGGGGGAAACACTAGGGTGGAACTTGTATTAGGGGGAAACCACTGGGGTGGAACTTGTTTTAGGGGGAAACCACTAGGGTGGAACTTGTATTAAGGGGAAACCACTAGGGTGGAACTTGTAATATGGGGAAACCACTAGGGGGGACTTGTATTAGGGGGAACCACTAGGGATAACCACTGTAAGCCAGATTAACTACCAGTCTCCCTACTCTCTGAGTTTCAAAACGCTCTTAATTAAGGTGAAAAGATATATTATACAGCCTAATTCACATTAAATTACAAGAACAGAGATGACAGGCAGCAAAAATTACATGAAAATTACATAAACCATGGATATCTTTGACAGTCACTCATTGGCAACAATGTTTCCTTGATTTGAAAAAAAATAAACATTTTTCTCAAGTTAGATAACTCTTTTCCTTCCCAGAATTCCTTCACTAAAACTAGGGCAGTAAAGAAAACATTGACAAAATTCGATTATAAAACAATAATTAGTCCTCAGAACTCTAAACGTTTACAATCAAAACATTTTTCTATTACTCAAGCATTAAGTGACATACATTTTAAAACATTTGCACCTGAGCACAAAGGTGTAAAAAGGTGTCAAGTGTATTTGTACCTCCCGAAAATAAGGCGGCCATGTTGACTGTCGACCACTTGGCGAATGAACTTACCTTTTTCAGGCTGCACAAAGGTGTTGTGGAGGTCGTCATCCCGACTAACCTGCGTTATAATGGACGTACTGTCCATTTAGACAATACCTAAATCCCTTTAGCGACGACGTTTTGGTGAATTTCAAAGGAATTAAGAAACATTCAAAAAGAAACATCAACTGTTGCTTCGAAAGTAAATAACATGGCTGTCGGATTGTAGCCTCATGAATATTAATTAGCTCGAGCTCACGTCTGTTATTTTCACATTTTTTTACTTTAAAGCTGACGAAGGCGAAATTTTAGAATTGTAAAGAAAAGGGGCCGTAAATAAAGTGTTTTTATATCGTAAAATATCTTTTATTCATAATTGTTTGGCCCCTAAAATTAATTCCCGCGTAAAACATCGTTTAGCGTAAAATATAATTTCATTGAGCTATGGTAGATTTAAACCAATCAAAACAATGATATTTGATATGGCCCGTTTCTCAAGACAACGTCACATACCAGTCGCTCCCACCCTGATAAGGCATACCTCTGTCTTCACCCGCTTAATAATCTATCAAAAGTCTCAATCTAATTACCTTATTGATTTAGGTTTCGTATTATTTAAGGGTTTATTTAATTATTTGTATGACAGGGGCATTTTTGGTCGTAAAGATGTGGAATTCAGCCGAAAATATCATGTCATGTCGGAAGAACTATTTTGTCTGGCATTTTTAACAGTGTCCATAACTCACCGGCGTACGTAAATTATCAGGGTTGAAATACCTTCAGTGTTGATTAAAGGGTAAATAATACTGGATAATCAGCCCCAAACAACGAAAAACATTCCAGGGCTGGATAATCTAGATAGACCATATGTCAAACTCATCAACGGCTTGAAGCAATTATATATGGTATATCAATTATATCAAACTTGTTCAACTTCACAGATCTGATAGCTTTTTGCGCGATAAATATCGATTACATTTAAAGGGAAATCATATGATCTGCTAGGCTATTAGTCCGTGTTAGGATTAGATCATAGAATAACAGGCCTATGTCTATGTCCCTATATAGTATAACTATAAGTATAACTTATTATAATGAGAGCTAAAATATAATATTAATCTTTTCTTCACAAACTTTTTTTTTTTTTAACCCATTGTGGATCTTTTCAACGGACTTAATTACGATTTAAGGGAGGCAATCGTATTTAATTTGGCCTACAATGATCTAAACATGACCTCAATTGACCTTATACATAGACCCTTCTTGCTTAGGCTGCATATAAAAGCCTGAAGACAATTTGGCCGCCTTTTCGCGTAGCCGTCGATTCGAGCTGTTCAGTAATAGTGATATTCAATGTTTTGATTATAAAAGTTATTCATAATCGAAAAAAGTGAATAAATCATTCAAAATGGGTCTATAAATAAACATGTCTATTTATTACACCGAGAGACCTTATTGTTTGTTATATTTGCATAAAAGTGCATCAAATTAGAATATGCAGTAATGAATGACCAATTTTTATCGTGAGGACGTCTCTTTAACCTATAATGTAAACATTAACATAATGCGATTAGAGTTGCCTCCCCCAAAATGGCCGCTACGGTAAGTTCCAACATATCAATTTTGACGTGTCTGTTATTTTTAGACCTTTAGTTGGCAATAAGCATGCTCTAAACTAACTGTTTTAGAGCTCAGTCAGTGTTTTGATGAGTTGACCTGTGCATTTTCAGAGAAACAAGCCGTTGATTTTAGCGACGGAGTGACTGACCTGAGATACTGTTGCAGTGTCATTGCATTGAGCTCTGATGATATTGATGTTATTCTTACTTACTGTTATTAGTCTTATTATGTATAATCGTGTTGAGTGGTGAAGATTAGCGCGAGGCGACAGAATTCATCCTCCATTCGTCAAGTGCAGTAACATGTCTTTTTTCAAAGAAATAGATTGAGATTTGGAATATTAGACTATTCAATATTGAATATTGATATTGGATCCAAATATTAGAGATTCTGGTGGAAAACTACTTGTTTGTTAGGCTTAAATACTGACATTTGATTATAGTATAGTCCTAGTTGGTTCATTATTTTAATCACATGAATTAGATCTAACGAGCCAATTATTTTGGTCATTTTTATATAATTCCACAAGTGAAATAAATAGTCATACCGGTATCTGATTAATTTCAAAGAACAGCAGCTACTTTTGTTTTAGTTATACTAATACCAGTTGAAGAGAACATTTTATATTATTAATGAATTGAAAGGTGATAGAGATTCAACTAACTTAGAGTACTGTTTTTAAGGCATATATAAATAGGAGTAGGTAAAGAAGCACAAGATATGGATATACTATTTCCGACATTTATAAACGTTTCACATGCTCATAGCCTACAGGCAGCGTTATAAAGAGAAGTGAATAATATAAAGTTGGTTGGTAGATGATAAGTTAACGTTCGCTTCCAGCGAATGCTGATATCGCAAATTTGGTAGTTGTTGGTAGACGTAGTAGTTGGTAGTTGGATTGGTTCAAATTGGATGATTCTGTGTTGTTGGTTTGGTTGTTGATTCTTCGTTAGATCTGGTCGGGTCGATCGAATGACATGCCGGTGAAACTCAGCCCTGGATGGTGTGGCGTGAGTTACTCGATCTCCTTCATTCTTCTAAACTCGTTCTGATCATGGTGTTTCTTGTTGATTGGTAGTCAAATGGTAGTCGTTGGTTTGGTTAGATTATCGGTTATCTGTTGGAATGAATAACATAACAAGACTAACAATATATATAGTAAATGAATGAGTAACAATTAACAGGATAAAGGGACCACAGGATTAAGAGGTGATTAAGATCAAAATTAAGCTAATCAAAGAGTTTGGTCCCTTTATCCTGTTAATTGTTACTCATTTATTTACTATATATATTGTGAGTCTTGTTATATTATTCACTTCTCTTGATAACGCTGCCTGTAGGCTATGAGCATGTGAAACGCTGAATTAATAAATGTCAGAAATAGTATATCCATATTGTCGTATCCATAAGTCTCACTATTTTGTTATATCTTCTCTAGTCCATGTACACTTATTACACAATACCATGAACCGGATGTATATGGTGGATAAAAATCCATGTCTAGAATATGTACTATACCGGCATGGCTGACTAATAACAATACTTTGATTTGCTCTTATTTTCTCTGTTTAACCCATGACCCAGACCATGACACATATATCTTGTGCTTCTTTAACTTAATATCACGAGTAGCCTAATTAAGCTTATATAATACAGAAGCACCAGTACCAGTATCCTTTGGTTTAGTGTAGCATTTCACTAGTAATTTTCAATGGACAGGCCTATCTTTGTTGATTAAATGACAAAGTTTCAACAAATTATATTATGAACACGTTAAATTGTTATTATCTACACATGTAGTACTTCTGGCATTGCAAGCTAATAGTGAAAAAAACATTATTATGAATTATTTTGAAAATGCCTGAAATACAGAAATTTTCACATTTAAACAACCCTCAGATTGAGCTAAGAGTAAGTACGGTAGTAAGTTGAGAGTACCAGTTCAGAGTTTAAATTCACAAAGTTTATTAATTTTGAGCTTCACTATAATAAGTACTGTGATCTGTGTTGTTGGTGAGACAGGAAATTCTCACCTCTGTGTTATGAAGGTGCCAATAAGGAACTGCGATTATCAATACCCTTCTCAAAGATTTCATTCAGCTGATTTTTTATCCTATCAGTATTGTGCTTATCAACAAGGACTATCTTAGGTTAAGGTTACATAGTTATTTACTTCTTTTTTATTATCTTGATAGGGAGATAAGATATCTATGAAGGCATCAAAATGCCCGAGTGATGAATTGTCTTTGACCAATGCTGCTATAGTTAATGCTGGTGAATTCAAAGATGTCAGGTTCGTAAACCTTGATTCTAAAAATCTTACTCAGTTATTGATGTAAATGTGACCGTTCAAAATCTATAGGGTGACAAAAATTGTACTGTAATCAGCTGTGCTATAACTTGTCCTTTAATATCAACAAGGTTCTTACATCACAGCAGAAGTAGACAGTTTTAGAAATATGAATGATTCTTTATAGCCTTATAAGATATATCCACTAAGCCATTTTTATGAGAGTAGGGTTGATTGAAAAGCAACAAGTTATGATTGACTGGAATCACTGACTATATTACAAGTGCTATTGGTTTATGTTTCAGTCATGTTATGGTATCAGTCACACCCCATACTAATTTTGTATTTACTATTATACCTCATACTGCTGTTGCACCAGGCAGAATAGCTTTTAATGCTGTACATGTAAGTATCAGACAATGTTTAATAATATAATAAATTGCAAGAGGTTGAAAGTATTAATGTAACCATCTAAAGTTAATGTGGAGTTGGTATTATTCAAAAAACAGCTACTAGATGTACCGGTACAATATTGAGTGAAGCAATCTCAAAGTGTTTAATTGTTCCTTCTTCCTATATAACTCAAATGATGCAACCTGGTTATCCAGATGGATATTTTATAGCAAAATGTTAAGTATTATATTTAGTATTAGCATTATAAGTAATGTGATGATTATTTTGTCTATTATAGAGAAAATGGGCGAGTATTGTAATATCATCTGATTTAGTTGTTAGAAAATATATGTTTAATTCTAAGAATCAGTGTATTGGTTCAGTCAGTCTACAGGTTGATTATCTTAATAAGAAAAAGTAAGTAGACCAGGTCTAATATATCTAACTTGAGGTATCAATATTTACACAAAACTCATTAATAGATAGTAGAACTGGACGATTCCGGTATAGGAATTTATATTGTTAGTAATATCGCCTGATTAAAAAATATTGAAATATAGCCATATCCTGATAGTAATTAACATGATATATCGTCAAATTTTTGTCCAGATAAGATCATCTACACAATTCTAACAAGTAACTTAATATTTGAAACAGATTTTTTTTTTCATGATATTCAAGACTGTGTTGTTTTTTTTTTTACTTTATTTAAAAATTTTTGATAGAAAACAACAACATTTTGTATCAAAAACCAGTAAAAATCAAGCTTAAGATTCAACTTGAACCAATATCACCAAGGCCTAATAGATAGTAACTTACTAATTATAAATCAAACAGTTTTCAAAGCATTTATCTTAATTTAATTCAGGCTGAAAAAGACCACCATGTCATGTTTCAAAGTGACATCATTTTCGTTGTGACATTTGGGTAGCTTTCAACAGGGGTTACGCCATTTTTTTGTTTTAATATGTTGAAATATAAATTATCAAGCAATGATAAACCACTGTCAGGGACACACAGAATTGTTTTACTCTTGCAAAAATATTGGAAAAGTTCAATTTGTTTTACAGTGTCTCATCTGAAATTCTGGACAGTGATAAGATGGCTGCCGAATTCAACATGTTGTTTGGTAATTTTGCTTTGTCAGTGGACCAACCTCTGGTTTTCTGCTATGAGAAGAAGAATTTACTTGTCACTGTTCTAGATATTGAAGGTAAGTGAATTTTTTCATAGTAAAAGCAGTATATGAGTGGTATTGCTTGCACATGATTTCCCAAATGATAGCCAGTAGACCTAGAATTCAATTCAAGGTGTGTAGAAAGTTGAAAATGAAACTTCAATCTAATTAAGTGCCCAATGCCTTTATATTAGATTGTTATTCATAATATTGTGAACATATTCCAATATTTGACAAATATAATAGACTAAATTTCTGTAATTGGCAATCTTAAGCCAATAAAGTTGAGTAAACCAAGTTCTGTTTTCATTTATTTTGTTTTTCAGTTATTGATTATACTGCCATGGCTAAGGACAAGATGGCAGGAAAACCAATGAAGGTAAAATTTGTTTTTATGAACCTTCCCTTCAGACAATTACACGAATAAGTAAATCTTTCACAATTCACAAGCAATTTACTGGGAACCTAAGAGAGCTCTCCTTTTTTTGAAAATTGACAGAAGAAAAGGAAATAAATTATGCCAAATAATGATGTTCAGCTGGTTTCAAATTTCATTGCTATATATATAATGTTAACATATTCCAGTGGCTATTTTTGTAGCAATAATACTATTTATAGGCAAATATTGGTTTAATGACACCCAATACAGCAGTAGTGTTTGAAAAAGCTGAAGGTTCACAAATTAATCTAAAAGGAAAATCAAAGGGGTAAGAATTCTTTCTCAATCATAACAATTAGATTCTCTAGATGGTTTGATAAGGACAAGAGTATCATACTAAATCAACAACAACCTTTCATCGTTTCTCTCTCTATTTCTCTATTTCTCTACTTCTCTATTTCTCTACTTCTCTATTTCTCTATTTCTCTATTTCTCTATTTCTCTACTTCTCTATTTCTCTACTACTCTATTTCTCTACTTCTCTACTTCTCTACTTCTCTACTTCTCTATTTCTCTATTTCTCTACTTCTCTATTTCTCTATTTCTCTATTTCTCTATTTCTCTACTTCTCTATTTCTCTACTTCTCTATTTCTCTATTTCCAGTCCTGAATTTCCTAATAGTAGATTTGATGGGATAGACATGATGAACTTTTGTAGTTTAAGTTCTATATTCATTTTATGGAGAAAATTTGTGTTGCTTAAGAATTCAATAATTTATACGAAGAACAGTTTTGGATTTGGAATTTTACTAATGAAACAACAGAAACAAAGATGAAAGAAATATAAAATTATTATTGTTTTTGATTATTTATTACAGTAAAACTGCTCAACAACAATCTATCATCAACCCCGACTGGGATTTCAATAAAATGGGAATTGGTGGACTGGATAAAGAATTCTCTGCTATATTTAGACGAGCATTTGCTTCCAGAGTGTTTCCACCAGATATAGTAGAACAATTAGGTAATCATCATCTTCTTTAACATCTTCATTTAAGGGCATTAATAGATAATGCATAATTTACTGGACTATACTAGACCAAATTATTATTGTATCGTATCTCTTCTATCAGGATACATATCCTCTTGTGGCATGATTTAATATACCCAGCTGGCCATTCTATATATTCCAGTCAAAATTAATATTAATCATTATTTAAACATTGTTATGTTATATATATTATATTTGTATATTTAGAAGGTTGTTATTGTTGATGTTTAATTATAGGTATGAAACATGTACGAGGTATACTACTGTTTGGACCACCTGGTACTGGTAAAACACTGATGGCTAGGTAAACTTTCTTTACCTTAGATTGATGTGTTTGAAGAACACTTTAGTCTGGAATGATATGATAGCCTTCTAATATGCCTTTGAAAGATTAGGATATGATAGCAGTTACATTTTGCTGATTTTTACTGAACTAGAAATCATCAAAATGTGGTTAAGGTTATGAAGGGAATTTTTGAAAATCCTGTAGCATAATCTCTTTACTTCAGTAATAGAGCAATTTAAAAAGGTGGGAAATGTTAATCAGACAAAATATTTGCTGCCAGCTCACTGCTTTTTGCTTTATTGAAGAAAAATTGAACCTAAAAAAGTCTTGTGTACTGAAACTTACATGAGCATCTACTGTTGCAAGGATAGATTTTTACCTAAAGCTTCGTATTTCAGACAAATTGGTAAAATGTTAAATGCTAGAGAACCTAAGATTGTAAATGGACCACAGATTCTAGATAAATATGTTGGTGAATCTGAAGCCAATGTTCGAAAATTATTTGCTGAAGCCGAGGAAGAAGAAAAGAGGGTAGGTATTTGTAGAGAATTCTTTTTAGGATTAGTACAAAAATGATAAGTCAATAATGATACTGTGGCAACTGAATTCAGGCTTATTGAACTGCTGATACTGTTCTGTTAGTAGGATAGACTATTGTTATTCTTTTCATAGTTTCAGAGAGTCCATGTTGTAAATAATATCACTTAGAAATATGTATATAAACAAGGAAAATTCTCTTTGTTTAAGTAACATTTCTAATTCAAGATGATAATTTTCTTAACAATTAAAACCTTTTAATTTTTCTTAATTTTTACCATTTTCTTGTTTCAGTGTGGTAGAAACAGTGGTCTACATATTATTATATTTGATGAAATTGATGCTATCTGTAAAGCTAGAGGCTCAGTTGTAAGTTGAAATGTTGTTTATATGTTAGAACTAGTTGTGTCCCTTATTCTGTATTGTGATGGCACACTTAAAAGTAGGGCTGTGTATTGCTGCTGAAAATCTCCCTTTATTGTGATACGTATTGCGATATATTGCGATACATCTCCCTGTATTGTGATACGTATTGCGATATATTGTGATACATCTCCCTGTATTGTGATACGTATTGCGATATATTGCGATACATCTCCCTGTATTGTGATACGTATTGCGATATATTGCGATACATCTCCCTGTATTGTGATACGTATTGCGATATATTGCGATACATCTCCCTGTATTGTGATACGTATTGCGATATATTGCGATACATCTCCCTGTATTGTGATACGTATTGCGATATATTGCGATACATCTCCCTGTATTGTGATACGTATTGCAATATATTGCGATACATCTCCCTGTATCGTGATACGTATTGCAATATATTGCGATACATCTCCCTGTATTGTGATACGTATTGCAATATATTGCGATACATCTCCCTGTGTTGTGATACGTATTGCAATATATTGCGATACATCTCCCTGTATTGTGATACGTATTGCGATATATTGCGATACATCTCCCTGTGTTGTGATACGTATTGCAATATATTGCGATACATCTCCCTGTATTGTGATACGTATTGCAATATATTGCGATACATCTCCCTGTATTGTGATACGTATTGCAATATATTGCGAAACGTCGTTCAGTTGATATTTCAGCTTTTTTTCCCAATTTGTGAGCAACTTAGGTTATGTTATGCATACCATCCTTTTATTTGCCTCATCGCAAATGATAAAATCACAAAGACAATCAGTCAATCACTTAACTAACTTAGTTACAATGTTAATTTTGAGTAATTAGATGTTCTTCTTCAAAAAAATTAATTTGTCCACATTGGATGGTTTGAGACCATGGTTATTTTCTTGACGTATGATGTATACGTATATGTGTTGTTAAGTAGTGTTATTGCAGAATTTTATTCCCATTGCACATATTCTACATATAGCTGCTTCACAATGTATTATTCCATCCTCAGTTTTATTAAATCCAAAGTTCTTCTACACAGCCCATTTTCCCTTTACATTATTGACCAAAATTCCCCCCAAATTTGAGATTTTTTTTAGGGGTTGTCATGCTGCCTAAGATATACTAGTTTTTTATATTGTCATAAAATGTATTACGACATTATTTATTTTATTATTTTATATAATTAAAACCAAAACTAACGTCATATTTAGTAAATTTAGCTTAGTTTAAAATGGAAGAAAATTTAACAAGGATAATTACGCGTTTACGTTTTATTTAAAGCAATAACAACACCAATTTTGAAGATGTAAATATTACGAAAACCACAACTAGGGTCTGGCACATGTAAAGTGACAGTAGAGTAAAAAAAATCGTCAATATCGATACACACAGATCGGTATTGATATATTGCTTCCAGGTGTCCTGTATCGCAATACATCGATATATCGATTATTTCCGACAGCCCTACTTAAAAGCATTGTATCAGTGATGCATGTAAAAAGTCAGGAAAACAAAAAAGTTCACAACAGTTGCTACCAGTCAAATTCAAGGACAAGGAGAAAATGACAGTATATATACTGCCTCACAAATCTAGCCCTACCTGTTCCTTGGGATTGATATGATATATATACTAGAGCCACTCGTGGCACAGAGTGGGACTTTGCAAATGTAGCAAATTGCAAAAGACCCCGAAAAAATCATCCTTCCACGATAATTAGATCAAGCGCAAGAACAGTCTTAAGTTGAGAAATTTTCATTTTTTAGAAGATTCTAATACCGGAAGTAGACGTCAGATCTCACAAATGAAAGTATCAGCAGATAGCCAAGGTCAATTTGATCTTGTAAAAGAGAAGGTCTAATAAGGTCAAGATCAAGAGATATACGTCATCAAAATTTCTAATTGCACACGACTATAAAACTGGAAGTTGACATAGGACAGCAAATATGAAAGTACAAATAGATAGCCAATGCCAATGACGTTTGATCCTACAAAGGTCAAGGTCAACAAAGGTCAAGGTCAACAAAGGTCAAGGTCAAAAATTGAAAATTTTGAATTTCCAAAACCTGTTTCTTTTTTTGAACTAAGAAGCGGAAACAACCGAAATTCTAAGACAAAGTGGCTCAATTCATGAGATAATTGTATGCAAAGTTCCATTTTGAAAAAAGGTATACTTTGCGAGTTATGCTCCTGGCCAAAAATATCAATAATGAGTAATATAACCCGGATGAGCCACGCCCACCTTAATTTTTTTTGCATAGGGTAATTGATATTCCAATTGTTAGGTTGTGTTTTAAATTTCAAGCTTCTACATTATTCAGGTCAAAAGATATAGGTCAACAAATGTCAACAAAGGTCAAAATCGAAAAATGAAAATATCCAAATGTTAAAACCCGTTCCTTTTTTGGAACTATAAAGCTGAAACAACTGAGCTGTTAACACAAACTGGCCAAAAGGATGAGGTAATTGTGTGCAAAGGCCCTTTTTTAACAAACGTATACTATGCGAGTTATGCCCCAGCCCCAAAATGTAAACAATTAGTAATTCAACCCGGATGTGCCACGCCCCCAATTTTTTTGTCATAGGTGAATTCATATTCAAAGTGTCTAGTTGTATTCCAAATATCAAGGTTCTACATAAAATAGGTCATAAGATATACATACACGAAGATCAAAATGACACAAATATGGTAAAACAAAACTCAAATTTGAAAAAATCACCAATTTCAATTTTGCTTTAAAAAAGCAATTGTTATATATATATGTAAAGTGCATGAAAAGCACATTAGGAAACCGAAAAAATTAACCCTCTAGGTTAATTAGGTCACATGCTAGAGCAGTCCAAAGTTGCGAATTTGGCTTTTTACGGATAGCTATAAAACCGGAAGTACATGTTGGGGGTCAAAGGTCAAAGTATCAAAAGATAGCCAAGGTCAATGACCTTTGACCCTATAAAGATCATGGTCATCAAAGGTCAAGGTCACGAGATATACGCCATCAAATATTGAAAAAATTCAATCGCAAATTGCAAAAAAGCAAAATCGAAATTCAAAAATCGGCTTCCTGCGATCTTTCTTAATTTTTATGTTCTTTCATTTGACACCAAAACTTTGAAATTCAGTTCAGCCAAATTGGCTGAATAAAAATCGAAGAGTTTCAGGAAAATCAAAATGGCGGCCAAAGTATCACTTCCGGTCGGAATTTTATTTTAAAATCGGCCATAGATTTTTATTTTATATCAATCAACGAAATTCCGTTCATTTTGATAAATTTCACCAGAAGATATTCGACAAATTCGATTTTGGACTTCAAGTGACTCAAACTTCGAAACCGGAAATGACGTAAAAAATCTGACTGTATCATGTCATTTACTTAAGTGATGTCTATTTGCATTTTAAATTTCAGATCAATCGATGCAAAAACAAAAAAGTAGCAAAAAAATTGAAAAATTTGATCGCAAAAAGTTTGCGACAAAGTTTAGAATTTCGAAATTTTTCAAATGCTATCTAGTCGACATTAGCCACCGGATGTTAAAATTGAAAACCCCGGGAAAATCGACGGTTTTGCAAAAAAGATCCAAAATATATTTATGCACATCGTCGCCTATATCTAAGGTTCGTGAATGTTGAATGGTTGCTGCAACTATTGTAGTCTAAGCTCAGGAAGGTGTGTAAAAATCGAAAAAAAAAAAAAACTAGAACCGTTATAACGGTACCAAAGCAGTGCGCATCCAACCTGATACATCGATAAAACGTTGCATTTTAAAGTCACAATGGGATTTCTTACCGGAAAGAAAAGCATGTAAACGTTCAATAGTAGAAAAAATCGTTTAAACCGTTTACCGTTCGGTAGTGAAAAGACGCATAAATTTGATACCATTCGGTACTAAAAGGTGTTAACATTCGATAGTAAAAAGTCGAATTTTCAAATAGCTGTAAAGTTAAAAGTTCAATTCGCACAACAAAAATGAAAATATTTTTGGAAAGGTACAATAATTTGTGTTTCGGCCAAGAGGTCAACAGAGGTCAAATAAAAGAGAATATAAGCCTTAAAAGTGTTGAAAATTGCTGTTTTGGGACGTTTGTAAAAGCGAAAATATATGTCGGACATCAAAGATAAAAGTATGAATGGACATCGTAGATCAATAACCTTTGACCTTCTAAAGACCAAGTTTATGCATGTAAATGGTCAAAATATCAAAATTTTATAAATTGTAAATCCTATTCCCTTTTTTAAAGTAAAATGCCTAAACAAAATGTAACTCTATCAGATATTGTCCCAAATAGTGCTTTAATTTTTTGTAAAATTTCGATGGTGAAAAATACAAACTTTAAGAGTTAAAACAATTTGAATTATTTATGGTAAAGGTAAAAGTAACACGGATTTGCCACGCCCACTGCAAAAATTTTGTGCTGTCTGTAATAATGTGTACAATGTCAAATAATGTTCAAAATTTCAAGTGTTTACAATCATTAGATCATGAGATATTCGTAGTTAAAAGTTTTTTTAAGGCAACGGTGACTGTCGGTGGATTATAGAAACCGTTAAAATTACGCAAAGTTACTATAGAAGTCAATACAAAATTTTCAAATTCAATTTCAATCAAAATACCAAGTGTTATATATCATTTGAAAGAATAGATTGCGTGTAATAAGGAAAAAAGATAAATTTTAGCTTATGTAAATTAGGTCACGTGATAGACCTTTTTTTTAAGGTAAAAATCGCGATTTTCAATTTGCTGTAGAACCGGAAGTTAACGGAGCACGACAAAAGTGAAAATATTATCGGATATATCTCGTAATGGTCAACAACCTTTGTTCAGGTCAAAAGGTCAACAAATGGCAAATAAAAGTAATATGAGCCTTTGAAGTTTCGAAAATTGCTGTTTTCGGACGTCTGCAAAACCGGAAGTATATGTTGCACATCAAAAATCAAAGTAAGAATGGTAATCTTAGATCAATGACCTTTGACCATGCAAAGGTCAAGGTCATTTACGTTAAAGTTCAAAAATAAAAATGTTTAAAATTGTTAAACCTATTCCCTTTTTTAAAGTAAAGAACGCAAACAACTGTAATATTATCACAAATTGTCCTAAGCAGTGATCTACTTTCATGCAAAATTTCTAGGATGACAATTGAAAACTATGAGAGTTATAACAATTGCAAATATTTCAGGTAAAGGTAAATGCCCACCGGATGTGCCACGCCCAATTCAAAAATTTTAATTTGTCTGTAATAATGTCTACATTGTTAAATAATGTTCAAAATTTCAAGTCTTTACAATCATTAGATCATGAGATATTCGTAGTTAAACTTTTTTTTAGGGCAACGGTGACTGTCGGTAAATTATAGACACCGTGATTTTACGCAAAGTTACTATAGAAGTCAATACAAAATTTTCAATTTTTAAAACACGCAATTCTGATCAAAATATCTAGTGTGAGATATCGCCAAAAAGGAGAGATTATGCACTCTAAGAATATATAAGAAATTTTGTTATATGTTAATTAGGTCACGTGACAGAGCTCCTCAAAGTTAAAAATCGCAATTTTCAAATTGCTGTAGAACCGGAAGTTAACAATGCACAACAAAAGTGAGGATATCAACGGATATATCTCGTAAGGGGCAACAACTTTTGTTCAGGTCACAAGGTCACCAAAGGTCAAAGTCACTAGATATGAGCCTTAATGTTTTTGACAATTACTGAAAACATAAAACCGAAAATAAAAAAAATACAAATCCAAAATTAAAAAATCGGCTTCCTAAAAAACTTAGCAATCGATTGCAGATTCTTTAGACACCAAAATCACACAAATCAGATTTACCCCTGAAGCTTAATATCGATTTTTACAAAAATTGGTCACATCAAGATGGCGTCTAACACGTTACTTTACCTACAAAATTCCGGAAGTTGAAATTTCAAGTTTAGAGGCGAATGACGTCAAAACCGGAAGTGATATCGAAATTTTGAAAATAGATTTTTGTCAGGAATCAAAATGCTTATCTACTATTAAATTTTTAGACCGATTGAAATAAAATTGTAGAAGTTGAAAAAAACGCTAAAATTAAAACAAAAAAAGTCAGCGACAAAAGTCAAAATCTGAAATTTTATAAAGTGCTATCTTTTAGTCATTGGTTTAAAGTAATGAACAAAACAAAAATTACGGTCAAAATAGATGCAGAATTAGAGCAGTAATTCGAAATACGTATTGAATGGTTAACGTCATACGTCATTTCCGATCGGAAGAAAATGCGTCATTTTACATTTAAACAGTAGCGACACGCAAAGTATTAGAAATAATAATGTCAGACAATGTGTGACATGTGCAGTTTTGGCTGGGGAGCGTGACCAAAAGTAGACAAAAAAAAAAAAATAGTCATTTGCAAAACAATCATCTGCAACTAGAACTGTTCTAATAACAGTACTGATGCAGGGCGGGTTACGACATTCAGGTACATACGAAGATGGTCTATTGCAATTACTTTATGTAAATACCTTTCTGCATCTCTAAATGCAAATATCCAAAAGTGCCTGGAGTTTAAAGTTTATTTACTAGGAATAAAAGAATATTTGTCAATTAATAAAGAATAAGTTTGATGAAATCCGGATAAGAAATAAGAAAGTTGGTAATGTGCATGCGCTCAACAAAAATTTGATAATTCCATCAAATTTAGAGTTTGATTATACACATACATACCAAGTTTGATGAAAATCGGATAATAAATAAGAAAGTTTGCAATGCGCATGCGCACTACGCAAATTCGATAATCCCATCAAATTTAGAATTTATTTATACACATACATACCAAGTTGGATGAAAATCGGATAGTAAATAAGAAAGTTGGCAATGCGCATGCGCACTACGCAAATTCGATATTTCTATCAAATTTAGAATTTGTTTATACACATACATACCAAGTTTGATGAAAATCGGATAGTAAATAAGAAAGTTGGCAATGCGCATGCGCACTACGCAAATTTGATAATTCCATCAAATTTAGAATTTAATTATACACATGCATACCAAGTTTGATGAAAATCGGATAGTAAATAAGAAAGTTGGCAATGCGCACTACGCAATTTGGTAATTCCATCAAATTTAGAATTTAATTATACACATACATACCAAGTATGATGAAAATCGGATAGTAAATAAGAAAGTTGGCAATGCGCACTACGCAAATTCGATAATTCCATCAAATTTAGAATTTAATTATACACATACATACCAAGTTTGATGAAAATCGGATAAGAAATAAGAAAGTTGGTAAATTAAGTGGAGGTATACCTTCAATATGCTGCCGTGAGCTTAAACTAAAATATGACTTGATTCAATCCACCTGAGAGCTTAATATTATACCATAACTGGACAAAGATAATTTTTAAGAAATATAAACGGCAGGGTATCTTTAAAACAACTTAAAATTTGATTTCTGTTGGGGTTGACAGCCAGGTTAATCTAATTAGCCGATTTATCTAATAATAACCCCATGTTAAGTGAATGGAGTTTTGAATTTGCATGTAAGGTATGCATGTTATATATCTATGGAAAGCTGAGAATCTCTCTACATTACAAAATCGAAAGAATTATTGCCATATCTCTATTAGGGACCGAGATAGAGCACTTTAAAGGCTCAAAATGGTCCATATTTAGACCCCTGTAAAATCGGAAATAGGTATCTGACCCAAAAGGTCATCAGATAGACAAGGTCACAAATTATCATCACAGTAAATATGAAGGTCATCAAACGTCAAGGTCATGAGATATACGCCTTCAAACTTTGAAAAAAACAATCCGGTCGTACAAAAAAGGCAAAACCGAAAATCAAAATTATGCTGCCTAAGGATTGTAGACAGACATTAAACGTATCGTTTGACACAAATGTTATGCAAATCGGATAAAAAATGGCCTCTGAATAGCAATTTCTGCAAAATGAGGCAAACCAAAATGGCGGCCAACATGTTACTTCCGGTGCGGATTTTTTTAGTTTAATAAGTTTGTATTAAGGCTGGTAATATAATGCATATGTTATTTTTGACATAACTCAATTCCACCGGAAGTGATACCACCGGAAGTACTAACATCGAAACCGGAAGTGATCAAAAAAATTTGAATGTGTACTTTTATGTCTCTATGCTGGCGGTCTACACCACGTAAGTTTCAAGTCAATCCGTCCGATAACAACCGAAATAGTATTTTTCGATTAATTTCGGCAAAAAAAAGTATGCAACGAATTTTCGAAAATCGAAAATGTTTAACTGCTATCATTTGTCCTTTGTTACAAGAAATACGATTCAGAAAACCCGATCAAAATCGGTTGATAAACACGCCCTCTAGAGTCCATTTTCCGTTTGTTGCAATTTTGCATAAAGTTGCTCAGAAAATTTTCGTTTTACATTTAAATTGTGATTAGCCACGAGTTACAAAACGCCATGAAGTCCGTTTTCCCGTACCTGTTGCCGTTGCCGAGAAAACCGGCCTGCCGTAGACGAAAAAAAAAAAAAAAAAAAAATCAATACGAACGCCCTGCAAAAAAAAAAAAGAATTGACATTTCGCTAGCTACCGCAAAGTCCCACAATTATGGATGGTGCTATCTGTGAGAATATCACACATGTATATATATTGCTTACAGAGGAACAGGTAGACTATATATGTACATGCACTCATATGGCATCAAATATTCTAAAAGAATGTGGTAAGGCTTTTCGTCTTTGGGAAATTGCATTTATCCTCTGGACCTTGTCTGCGAAGACTGAGCCAAAACTAAATAACTATGTCAAATACAGGGTCTTTCTCCAGGCCCCCAAAGACTTCATTCTTTCGAGAGATCAAGGTGTATAAATTTCTTCTATTCATTCTTCTATTTCTGTAGGCTGGTAGTTCAGCTGTTCATGATACAGTTGTCAATCAACTGTTAGCTAAACTAGATGGTGTGGAACAACTTAATAATATTCTTGTTATAGGTAATTTCATTACTTCTCTTAATTCTCTACTTTTTTTCAAAATGTGCTTAAGTCTGTGCACTTTAAAGATCTTTCAATAGTTGAAAATTGAAAAGAAATTAGACTAATTACCTTTATTGTCTTCCACATTGTATATTTACATGTATATTAATATCAGGTATGACCAATAGAAAAGATATGATAGATGAAGCTTTGATGAGACCTGGTAGATTGGAGGTCCAGATGGAAATAGGTGAGATTATTTTTAATTTTTTTACACTCCTTGTTCCAGTTTCTTAAACCATCTTATAATCAAAATTTGTTGAAGAATTTTACAGTGAGAAATAATATGTATTGGCTAAAAGAGACAAGACACATTAAAAAATACCATTGTGGGTAGAAAATGATTAGAATTAAAATACCTAGTTACAGATCAGTCTCATTATATTTATACTGGTCTATTTGAATATAGATTGATAAATCAGGTAAAACCAAACCTGAAATCCGAACAACATACTAAATATTGGTAGCAGCTAATGAACTTTTCATGAAGTATATCAACTATAAGTGAAGAAATATTTCATAATGAAAAGGGGTCTTGAAGGAGAAGAAGACAACACTATTTCTGATTTTTTTTTGTCATTTATAGGTTTACCTGATGAACATGGACGAGTTCAGATTTTAACCATCCATACTGAGACAATGAGAGAAAACAACAAACTAAATCCAGATGTTGATATCAAGGAATTAGCCGGTTTAACTAAGAATTTTAGTGGAGCGGAAATAGAAGGGTTAGTGAGAGCTGCTCAATCCACAGCCATGAACAGATTGATTAAGGTAACCATTCGATATAGATCGAAAATATTGGATGTTCTTATTATAAAAGCAGCTGACATTCCGTAAATTAAAGTTTCAGACAAAAACGAGGTTTTCTGCTCGACGTTTTATTTTAGATGGAGGTCCACTGATGTAATATTGACTGTTCATAGACACACCAGACAACCCCTAAGTCTGGGTTTTATTTGAGAGTTGTTTTTTTTTTTGCTTACATAAACACAAACATTATCTGTTTTTTGTGATGTGTTTGTTTTTGTGAAGTACCACTGTCATATATAATGGCACTATTTTTGTGTGTGTGTTTTCAGTCTATTAAACTAATGATCAATGTATTTTGTAGGCATCATCAACAGTAGAAGTTGATACATCAGCTGTAGAACAGTTACTAGTTTCCAGGGTGGATTTTATGCATGCACTACAAAATGATGTCAAATCAGTATGAATTTTACTCTTTGTCTTACCTATTTAGCCGCTATTTGTAGTATGGTTTAGTAATGAGTGGTATTGATTAGTTACATTGTTATTTGTATCCTATGCAGATTGCCACTACAAAGTTGTGTTGTATCCAAGATGGAGAAAATTGGGTTGTAAAAAATTTATTAGTGAAATAATATCATGTGGTATTGGAATACATAAGTCAGTAGCCAGTTGGACTGTTATCTATAGATAACTAAATGCTTACTTTACTCCCAAAGGATGATCAACATTCTGATGCGACAACCAACCCCAATTTAACCCTTATGTATTGTATCTATCAGGCGTTTGGTAGTAGTAAAGAACAATTAGAGGAACTATTAGCTAATGGTATTATATCATGGGGTGAACCTGTCAAGCGAGTACTGGAAGATGGTGATTTAGCTGTTGCACAAACTAAATCTAGTGATAAAACTCCACTTGTTACTATGTTATTAGAAGGTAAGAAATCACAGATATATTCATCTATAGTAGAACTAAGATATTTCTACTCATCCAGTTAATCAACATAATATAAGACTTGTCATGTTGATATTTTGAATCACACCTGGCTAAGCAGAACTCTCTTTGCTGGAATATATATCAATTATTGATGTAAAATATGTCAAGATGCTATTAAAGTTAGCTTTTTTGGGGTCATTTTGGACATCATTTCCTTGATGATTATTACTGATAAATCATCTAATATCAACCCATTTGTGTACAATATTTGAATACTTCCTATGGCAGTGCTTCTCAAAATCAATGAGATCATTCCTCCCCGAAATAGTTCTTCTAAATCTATTCCTCCCCGAAATAGTTCTTCTAAATCTATTCCTCCCCGAAATAGTTCTTCTAAATCTATTCCTCCCCGAAATAGTTCTTCTAAATCTATTCCTCCCCGAAATAGTTCTTCTAAATCTATTCCTCCCCGAAATAGTTCTTCTAAATCTATTCCTCCCCGAAATAATTCTTCTAAATCTATTCCTCCCCGAAATAGTTCTTCTAAATCTATTCCTCCCCGAAATAGTTCTTTCTCCTCATTTCCTTACCTGCCAATAATTCCTTCCCATGGCTTATACTTTATCTTAACATTAACTTGTAATTTAAGGTACACCAGGGGCAGGAAAGACTGCTTTAGCTGCTAAAATAACTAAACTAGCTGATTTCCCCTTCACTAAACTCTGTTCACCAGGCAATATGATTGGGTTCCATGAATCAGCCAAATGTCAAGCTATCAAAAAGGTAGGTTATTATTAACACAATAACTTAAAGGCATTGTAAAGAAGTTTTCTAAATTTTTCTGTGATGGCATGAATTTGCACCATTCCAGTTTTTTGGTCAAACATGGAGCCACTTAATGATAAAAGCTACTTTGATGTCTTTTAAATGATTAAGTTTTGTATATTTTCCACTCTAGATATTTGATGATGCATATAAATCACCATTAAGTTGTATTATACTGGATGATGTAGAGAGATTACTAGGTGAGTTTTACTTTCATTATCTGGTTATTAAGTGTGTGAAATAGGAAATATCAAATAAATCTAGATACAGAACAAAGAATATTTACCTACTACGGTCAGACTATTCATGGTCATTCAGTAGTAAGCCAGTGTCATACTACAGTCAGTAACATGTTTGATTGGTCGAAGATTACTTTCTCTGCCAAGAGCAGACAAATTTTACATGAATTGTTTGAAACACAATGTAAAAGCAAGTAATATTTTTGTATTTCAGACTATGTACCAATTGGTCCAAGATTTTCCAATTTAGTTTTACAAGCTTTACTAGTATTACTTAAAAAAAGACCACCTGCAGTAAGTTCTTTATGATTATTAGATATATTAAAACTAAGGACAATTGCTAGCTTGCTTTGCACTGGCTCAATTTTTCTTTGTGTATCTTGTTGCTCAGGTGGGACAATAAGCCCAAGGCACCATGTGCTACAGGCTGTGCACGTTAAAGATCCTTCGGAAATTGGAGGTAAAATAAGTAGTAGGCTAATGCAGCTGTACTGGAATCCCTCATTGCACATACCTGTCTTGATTAGCCCAGCTGGAGCAGAAAAGTAGGACATAAAACTCCATTCATTTCATTTAAGACCATAAGCTCTATTTATGATGGAAATTCTGAAAAAAAAACCATTATAAATGTATGATATAATATTAGATTTATTGTTTAATTGATTGTAGGGTCGTAAGTTACTAATTATAGCAACAACAAGTCGTAAAGATGTTTTATTAGAGATGGAAATGTTGAGTGTGTTTAATACTGTAGTTCATGTATCCAGTATATCTACTAGTGACCAGCTCATCTCAGTTCTAGATAATACTGAAGTCTTCACCAAACACGAGGTTGAATACATACAGAAGAAAAGTCACGGAAAACGGTAATTATTTTATTATGTAACTGGTTACAATTTCCTAGAGAATTTAATGAAAACTTTGCTGTACACATCTGATTATAAGTGATTACAACTGATAACTAATGATTACAACTGATAACTAATGATTTTTACTGATTACTAATGATAACAACTGATTACTAGTGATTACAACTGATTACTACTGATAACAACTGATTATACTAGTGAAAACAACTGTAATTTTGAAGACTAAGGATTACAACTGATTATAAGTGATTATATTGGATTCGAACTGATTACTAATAATTACATTTATCTACAACTGATTATACTAGTGATTACAACTGATTATACTAGTGATTACGACTGATTATACTAGTGATTACAACTGATTATAATAGTGATTACAACTGATTATACTAATGATAACAAATGTAATTGAAGACATGTGCTTACAACTGATTATTAGAGTTTATATTTGATTCGAACTCATTACTAATAATTACATTTATCTACAACTGATCATCACTGAATACAAGCGATCACATATGATTACTTGTGATCAAACTGATAACCTGTGATCAAAACTGACTACTTGTGATTACAACTGATTACTAGTGATCACAACTGATTAGTAGTGATCATAACTGGTTACTAGTTATTTCAACTGATTTCTTGTGATCACAACTGATTACTTGTGATCACAACTGATTACTTGTGATCACAACTGATTACTTGTGATCAAACTGATAACCTGTGATCAAACTGATAACCTGTGATCAAAACTGACTACTTGTGATTACAACTGATTACTAGTGATCATAACTGGTTACTAGTAATTTCAACTGATTTCTTGTGATCACAACTGATTACTTATGATCAAAACTGATTACTTGTGATTACAACTGATTACTAGTGATCATAGGTGGTTACTAGTGATTAAATGTGATTACACATGATTAATAGTGATAAAAACTGATTACACCCGATTACCAGTCATTACAACTGACTTGATATTGATCACAATTGATGACTTGTGATTACATCTGATTACTAGTAATTGCAATTGATTACTAGTCTTTGAAACTGATTACAAATAATTGCTGGTGATCACAACTAATCACAAGTGATTACTAGCAATCACAAGTGATTACTAGCTATCTCAACTGATTACAACTGATTACTAGTGACCACAACTACTAGTGACCACTATTACGATAACCAGAGATAGAACTGATACTGTAATTTATCTAATGAATGTGTGGCGGTACCCTTGATTAGTTAGTTATTAATTAATATTTATGCAGGCTTGTATAGAATATGTTTTTTTTATTATTTTCTGTTCATGTCACTGTATTTAATTTATTTTAGAGTATTTGTGGGTATTAAGAAATTGTTAGTGTTAATTGAGATGGCTAGACAGGTAGGTGAAAGAAATATGATTTTTTATTGCACATGCTGACACTCGATTGAACCAATCAGTTGCCTGATGACAAGTTCAAATTCAGCAAATTCCAATTATATATTCTTTTTAGGCTACACAGTGTACTTTTTTTAAACAAGTTAAATGTAACAGAAATCTGATTCCCATGGGATATAAAAAAAACATTAAATTTTGGATTATCTACTTCCACTGTATGCAATCTTTTTTCTGTGTGCTAAGTAACAATGTTTTTTTATATTTCAGATGGATGAAAAAGGAAGAGCGAATAAATTTGTAGAACTTTTAGAAGATGAAGGTGTAATAGAAATGTGATTTGTTATTAAGGACTAAATTCTTACTCTATTTATTGTTCTGTAGGGTGTAAAACTCCATTCTATTATAGTTAGATAGTGCTGATGGAGATTTCTATCATTCCATTATCCTCCTTAATGTCTTTTTTAAGTTTCATATTAGAAATTTGTGTGTAATGACCAATTCAGATTTAAAATTTTGTTGTAATCTAGCTATTGTTAGATTTTGTACACTAAACAATTGTTGTCAAAAAGTTCATGTATTTCACAATTTGTATTTGATTTAATTTGTAATTTTAAGAATTCTTTTGGTTACACTTATCAGTTCACTTGTGTTTGACGACAAGATACAGACCAAGTAATCTTGAAATGATCTTAGCACCACAACATTCTAGCACTAAGACTGTCATGAGAATACGCTTCAAGGTCTACTTAGTGTAGAGTTTCTATTAAAGAAATGTTAATTATTATCATGATTAGATTGTATGAAGATTTATAGTTGAAACAGGTACTCTTTATTTCTGTATGGTATTTTAACACTAACATTTTTTGCATACTAGTAGCATTAAAATCTCTCCCTTGATTATGAAATTATAAAATTTTCATTGTTGTATGAACCATTTACATTTTTTACAAGAAATCCTTTTAAGTTTAAAATATTGTTTGAAGGCTGCTTAACAAATCACAAATGTCTTAAAATATTATATAGAGCTCAATTTCAGGGACCAAATTATCGTCATTCATGTTGTCATTAAAGGCATTAAATTCGAATATTTACCATCTGATAGAATGTAGCATTAGCTGTTTCTCTCAAGTGAACTACATCTATTCCGTATCAGTTAGACCAGTAAGTCAGGCTCAGACCACACAGATTTACAAATGGTTAAGGATTTTTTGCTTGTATTTGCCAGTCGAGGCAAACTATACTCTCAAAATGTCAGACTTGAGTCTTTTTGTAATGCTTGATTGGTGAATTCTGAATAGGTTCTGTTTGTTTAATTCTGGCCTCAATCAAACATTACAAAACCAGATTTTGTCATATCCAATATTTTATCTTTTATTCCTTTCTCTGCCATTTTGAACTCTGTTCGAACTTGTGTCATTGAATGTCCAGTTGATTCTGATAAATCAGAACGGGGAGAACTTTCCAATTGAGTGGCCCATCAAGCATATTGTTATCTCTTACAGAACCTAATTCTGAAGACCTACAGTATTGAGATTAGGTGTGTAACAGTAATTTGTAAGAGCTATAGAGTAAAGAAAAAGGTAGAGACTAGATATTATATTGTCCTGGATGTTGTATATTAATTATAATCAAATAGAACTTTGTTATATGATGAAATACCATTCCATGTGCAATAAAACATTATGCATTACCAATTTGCTTTATTCTTTGTCTGTGTGCTGCAACAGGTATAGGCTTGCCAGGTTATTCCTTTATACAAATAGTTTTAACTAAAGAATGGCTTGCCAGCTTGCTCCTTGTGGGATTGTTAAACTCTGAGAAGCACAGGTGCTGAAATAGTGCCAAACCAGCATGTGGCACAATGTTAGTTTTCTAGATTATGATATTCTCCTCAGTCTCAAATAAGTGAGGGTTCTTCTGTCCATGTTGACATACTTTCTATCTAATTGTTATTGACTAGAACCCAATGGGTGCAAAAAGTAAATAGGAATATTTCATATTTCAAAATTTGAATAAAATCTAACTGGTAAAATCTTACTGTTCTTAATGCTGTCTTAACATGATTTGGATATCCTCATCAGGACTCTAAATAAAAAGTTGGAATTAAACCGAATGGATTTTTAGTATAAATCTACTGCAAAATCAGAATTTTCATCAATCATTCCTTCATACAAAATCATTAGACAATGATCTAAGATATTTTTTCCATTTGGGTGATGCTGAGTTATTAGACGCCCCCATTAAATATATTGGAAACGTACAATTGCCAAAAATGAAAGGAATAAAATTTCAACTGAAAAATTAGTCTACTCAAAAATGGTCTCACTGATAACAAAGAACAGAAAATGAACTTTTGAATCAAGGCTTTAAATGGTATTAGTGTAAATTTGAGACAAAAACGGCTGAAATAAATCGAAGTTACGTACAACTTGATATCCATTGTAAAAGAAACGAAAGAAATTGAAATCCAACGGGGTGGTACAAGTTGAAGGGCAAAAATTGAAAATTGCATCTCGATTGTTTAATGTTACTTGTAATGGAGTCTAAATTGATATGGTAATACTCCCATGCTCTAATTTTAGTGACAATAGAATCAGAATTAGTATTATAAATGCATTATTTTATGTAGATTTTCTGTATTCTAAATTCTACTTAAACTAAAAAAAGGCAATGTCGGTTATGTTTGTGTTTATTGAAGTAAACTCTTACTCTCTATTTCTCGATCATCTTCATAATGTCTAGCTATGGTAGGTAGGTACGGTAGATGATAAGTTAACGTTTGCTTCCAGTGGATGCTGATATCGCAAACAAGGTAGTTGTTGGTAGTCTTGGTAGTTGGATTGGTTCAAATTGGATGATTCTGTGTTGTTGGTGTAGTTGTCTATCTATTACAAACTTTGGCTGTTATAGCCTCTATTTAGAAAGGAATGATGCAATTTGATTGGATTGTACATCAGTGAAAACAGCCGATCAGATCCCTTGACAATTGTACAATCCAATCAAAATTCAAATGTCTACATTTACACACTTCTATAGGCCTAATAGCCTACAAGAAAGTTGACTATTGAAGGTAAAAACTATAAGATGAAGTTCGTAATAGATTGATATTGTAACGATGTATTTCCATTTAATTGATAGTGTTTGAACTTTGCCCCTGTTATGTTTATAGATTATTACTGTGAGATATCTAACTATGGTATATCATCTAGGCAAATATCATATGCCTGCAATATTGTGTAACTTTGTAGTACCCTGAGTTGTCTGACAGGTGTCCCTTGCTTTGTATGTTAGTCTACTAATAAACTTCTTATTGAATGGATGTGTTCCTTATTTCAATACACAACACCCCGAGACTGGACAAACTTCTCAAACCTTTTGATTTGAAGTCTTGGACTAATGAATGACGACATCCACCCATATAAAACCCCTGATTTTGGCTGCGTGGTAAAACCACTCACCTTCATGATGTGAACAGATTAGTTGGTAACTGCATTACCTGTTATTATTATAAAATGAATATGCTTTTTCTCACCTCAAAATCATGCTTTATAATATAACTTTAACCTACCCAAATTATTACATTCCAATGCAAATTGATATATTCATTTCTTTTTTCTAGGAATGATCCAGTTAATGGGTATGAAGCATATTTTACTGAAGACAGCTACAAGAAACTTGTTAAAGAGGACACTTTTGAAAGCAAGTTATCAAAAAGTATTTCAAGTATTAAATTACAGAGACAAGCCAATCATATTGTTCATGGTGACAAGGGCAATAAGTCAGTTTCGACTGGTGAAAAAAAGGGCAGTAACTCAGCAGTGAGTCAAAATGTAGTTAATCAAAAAGGGAAAAAGTCAAATCAAGAAACAGCTGTAAAGACAGAAGTAAAATCTGAGCCAGAGTGTGGTTCATCTGAAGAGTTTGTCTTACCAACATCTCTACTAGGCAGAAAGTAAGTTATTGGTACTGTTATGGGCCGATATATTGATTTTCAGACTGTGTTATTTATTTGCTGCTGACATGTGTTTCAGGTGAATATTCCATCACCTCATCTTTTGGTGTTAACACTGATATAAATATGATTTGATCCCATCTCATTACAAATTGTTTTTAATTGGAAACTTTTATTGGATTTATAATAAATAGGGTGTCTTAATATTTAATATAATATTTAACAAAATCGTAAAATAAAATAAGCCATTTGATTTGTTAGCTGACATAGTTCAATATCATTGCACTCAACAGAATTACAGAGTCAATCTGATATAAGATTTTCTACAATTTTCAATCAAATTCTTTCATAGGAGTTTAAATTTTGCAACTTCCTTTATCATTGACATTTAAGGCTGTGACATTTTCAGATTTGAACTCTTAGAATAAAAGTTGATAATTAAAGATTATAACGGTCTCCTAATGAATATGGCAATTATTAAAATCAGAAAGTCACTTTTAAGCTAAAATTACATATATGCATCATGCGGACATAAATGGCCCTTGTGGATCCATCATGCGTCAAATATGATTCCATATGTGCGTTAAATGTATGCGTTATCTTTCTTTTAACGCACAGACTTATAGACAGATGGATGCTTTAGTGCATTAAAAAGACAGGGAATGCCCACAAAATACGTCACATTTGGGAGATCTCCGCGTGGAAAGGCGTCCGGATGCGTCAAAAATTGCTCCACCTGACGATTTTTTTTTTCACGCATGACGGAGACCATTTGAGGGATACCGCTTCCGCATATATGGAATCATACCCTCTTAAACCAACCATTTCGATTTTTAACGCATGACGGATCCGCATGAAGTGTATGTGGAATCTTAGCTTTAGATATAATGATATTTATCGTGATTTACAAGTTCTATGTTTTTTTTAGAATTGGTGGTTTACAGAAGAAATCCAGTTTAACAAAAACAGAACAGAGAAAATATATAGATTTACTGTTAAAATATAGATACCATCCACCTGGTGTGAACTTATCTAATACAGAGAAAAAAGACTTGAAATATTTTGAGGTAAGAGAGATATAGATATAAACTGACTAGTAGATATGATGAACAGAAAAGTAGCACAAAAAGCTAAATATTTCACACATGTCTGTAAACATCTACCATATCAAAAATCTAAAGAAATTAACAATTATTTTGAATAAACTTATTGAAATTAATTATTATTACTAAACATAGATGAGCCCTATCAAAAATCTAAAGAAATTAACAATTATTTTGAATAAACTTGGTGAAATTAATTATTATTACTAAACAAAGATGAACCCTATCAAAAATCTAAAGAAATCAACAATTATTTTGAATAAACTTGGTGAAAATTAATTATTATTACTAAATAAAGATAAACCCTATCAAAAATCTAAAGAAATCAACAATGAATTTTGAATAAACTTGGTGAAAATTAATTATTATTACTAAACAAAGATGAGCCCTATCAAAAATCTAAAGAAATCAACAATTATTTTGAATAAACTTGGTGAAATTAATTATTATTACTAAATAAAGATAAACCCTATCAAAAATCTAAAGAAATCAACAATTATTTTGAATAAACTTGGTGAAATTAATTATTATTACTAAACAAAGATGAGCCCTATCAAAAATCTAAAGAAATCAACAATTATTTTGAATAAACTTGGTGAAATTAATTATTATTACTAAACAAAGATGAACCCTATCAAAAATCTAAAGAAATCAACAATTATTTTGAATAAACTTGGTGAAATTAATCATTATTACTAAATAAAGATAAACCCTATCAAAAATCTAAAGAAATCAACAATTATTTTGAATAAACTTGGTGAAATTATTATTATTACTAAACAAAGATGAACCCTATCAAAAATCTAAAGAAATTAACAATTATTTTGAATAAACTTAGTGAAATTAATTATTATTACTAAACAAAGATGAGCCCTATCAAAAATCTAAAGAAATTAACAATTATTTTGAATAAACTTGGTGAAATTAATTAATATTACTAAACAAAGATGAGCCCTATCAAAAATCTAAAGAAATCAACAATTATTTTGAATAAACTTGGTGAAATTAATTATTATTACTAAACAAAGATGAGCCCTATCAAAAATCTAAAGAAATTAACAATTATTTTGAATAAACTTTGTGAAATTAATTATTATTACTAAACAAAGATGAACCCTATCAAAAATCTAAAGAAATCAACAATTATTTTGAATAAACTTATTGAAATTAATTATTATTACTAAACAAAGATGAACCCTATCAAAAATCTAAAGAAATCAACAATTATTTTGAATAAACTTGGTGAAATTAATTATTATTACTAAACAAAGATGAACCCTATCAAAAATCTAAAGAAATCAACAATTATTTTGAATAAACTTGGTGAAATTAATTATTATTACTAAACAAAGATGAACCCTATCAAAAATCTAAAGAAATCAACAATTATTTTGAATAAACTTGGTGAAATTAATCATTATTACTAAATAAAGATAAACCCTATCAAAAATCTAAAGAAATCAACAATTATTTTGAATAAACTTGGTGAAATTGATTATTATTACTAAACAAAGATGAGCCCTATCAAAAATCTAAAGAAATTAACAATTATTTTGAATAAACTTGGTGAAATTAATCATTATTACTAAACATAGATGAACCCTATCAAAAATCTAAAGAAATCAACAATTATTTTGAATAAACTTGGTGAAATTGATTATTATTACTAAACAAAGATGAGCCCTATCAAAAATCTAAAGAAATCAACAATTATTTTGAATAAACTTGGTGAAATTAATCATTATTACTAAACATAGATGAACCCTATCAAAAATCTAAAGAAATCAACAATTATTTTGAATAAACTTGGTGAAATTGATTATTATTACTAAACAAAGATGAGCCCTATCAAAAATCTAAAGAAATTAACAATTATTTTGAATAAACTTGGTGAAATTAATTATTATTACTAAACAAAGATGAGCCCTATCAAAAAATCTAAAGAAATCAACAATTATTTTGAATAAACTTGGTGAAATGCATTTAATCAGATTTTTAAACTGGCTATGATAAGCCCTGGACAACTGGCATCTGAGTGTATTGATATTTGTTTGTATTGTAATTACAGTCACTGCAGGTTCGAGTAGCAGTAGAACAGAATGAATTTATGGGTAAATTACGAGAGCTGGCAGCCAATCAGGGAATATATAACTTTCTCTCACCAGATGGCAGAAGATACATAGAGGTTTGCAAATTTCATTGCTTTGTTAAGATTTTGAAGGGTAATAATCAGAATAGATATTATATGCATTTCTACCAGATGATTTCACAATATTATTATAATATGATGCACGAGAATCTAAAGAAGCATAGTTACAAGTCATGTAGTGGACCCATTGTCTGATAGAGTCTTGGGGAATTCAAATTGTAATCTTGAATATCACTGTATATTGTAGGAAAAACATGAAGGGAAGTTAAAACAAGTTGAAGATCTACCGAGATATTTTTTTACAATAAATAAACCTTTACCATTGAATGTAACTATTAATCCTTGTAGCCCACCACCAAATTTAGTGTTTGTCAAAACTCTAGCAGAACTGGTTAGTTGTTACTGATAACTGAAATTAGCATCTGCTGTTCTTGATAGAAAATGTAACTAGTAACATATCGTGGGTGACCGATTGAAACCTCGTATGATGGTTTTATTTTGTTCAAATATTTTTATTATTTTTTTGCCGCTGTATGTGGTTTTCATTCTTTGAAAATTTAAACTTTGTATAACAATTTGAGTACGCCGAAAAAGGAACATTGAACTTTTTTAGCTTTTGAATGGTAATAAGAAGTCAAAATGACCAAACATGGCATATACAAGGTATCAAGCGATCACCCAAGATATACAACTACATTGCGAGTAATCCAAATCTTTTACGTTTTTCCATATGAGCACATGATAATGTCTGTACAATTCTCATTTTGCATATCATATGGCATACCTACATGGGGGATCATATTATATATTATGATTATAGTCTCAATATAAATAAATCACTATTACATGGAAAGAAAAGGAAATAACACATTAATATGTTGGCCTACATATTTCATATTTTCCCCAATTTGTACTCTTAAAGTGTCCCAGCAAAGATAACACTTCAAACCATTCTTAAAACAGAGCATTGAATATCCATGAGCTCTTTTACCTTTGTCTGATTATTGTTGAACTTGACAGGTTTTCTACTGTAGGGTGTCCCAGCTAAGATAAGCATACCTATTATCTGTAACAATGAGAAGAAGATGATACCTAATGATTATGATAAAGTGTCTAGTCAATGTCCAATGTGTATTCAAACTGAATTAGAGAATAAATATTGTAAACAGGTAAATATATCAAAATAGCTAATAAATAAACATAAACTTTTCCAGGCAATAAATAAACCAAGTATTAATGATGTGAAACGAAAACCCAAAATCCGAAACAATATTTCAGCAAAACAAAGGTAGCAGCTAAAGAACTTTTCACATTAGAAAGTGTGCATTATGGATAGGGTACTATAGAAGGAAGCCTGTTCCCCAATCATATGTAAATATTGTTTATACAAAAACAAAGGTGTGCATATCTTTGTCATTATGTTATTGGACCAAGCTATTTATTGACAAAAAGAACTTTAGTCGGCTCATTGCCAAGTGGTTTACCGAGAGATAAGCTTATTGAAAAGAAGGAATTAAAGCACCCAAGGTGTAAAATCTAATTATTTCTCTATTTCTATATCAGGTTTGTAGTAAGGATAAGAACAGTGAGATATTAGCCTGTAAAACTTTCAGCCATATTGTTTTATCTACCAGTGTTTTACGTTGTCTGATCAACAACCATGCTCCTAACTTTAACACAGCCTGGGAAATACCAGTTACTGTTAAAACACATGATTTACAATGTAAGTAACTTTAACACAGCCTGGTCAATACCAGTTACTGTTAAAACAAATGATTTACAATGTAAGTAACTTTAACACAGCCTGGGAAATACCAGTTACTGTTAAAACACATGATTTACAATGTAAGTAACTTTAACACAGCCTGGGAAATACCAGTTACTGTTAAAACACATGATTTACAATGTAAGTAACTTTAACACAGCCTGGTCAATACCAGTTACTGTTAAAACACATGATTTACAATGTAAGTAACTTTAACACAGCCTGGGAAATACCAGTTACTGTTAAAACACATGATTTACAATGTAAGTAACTTTAACACAGCCTGGGAAATACCAGTTACTGTTAAAACACATGATTTACAATGTAAGTAACTTTAACACAGCCTGGGAAATACCAGTTACTGTTAAAACACATGATTTACAATGTAAGTAACTTTAACACAGCCTGGTCAATACCAGTTACTGTTAAAACACATGATTTACAATGTAAGTAACTTTAACACAGCCTGGGAAATACCAGTTACTGTTAAAACACATGATTTACAATGTAAGTAACTTTAACACAGCCTGGGAAATACCAGTTACTGTTAAAACACATGATTTACAATGTAAGTAACTTTAACACAGCCTGGGAAATACCAGTTACTGTTAAAACACATGATTTACAATGTAAGTAACTTTAACACAGCCTGGGAAATACCAGTTACTGTTAAAAAACATGATTTACAATGTAAGTAACTTTAACACAGCCTGGGAAATACCAGTTACTGTTAAAACACATGATTTACAATGTAAGTAACTTTAACACAGCCTGGGAAATACCAGTTACTGTTAAAACACATGATTTACAATGTAAGTAAATTCTGTAAATTTTATGGTAATGAAGTTTATTTTTTCCTTTTATCATTATGCCAAATTTCAGAACTCTTGTTTCCTTATCATAAGTCCAAATCAATGTAAGAATTGCAATAAGTGTTTAAAACTGAAGTTTCAGTAATGCTTCTCTTTGCCTCAGTTAGACATAGCTAGTAAATACTACTAATATACATATCCCTGCTTCTAACCTTTTGAATTTTTTACAGATCAAGGGCACACAATCAAACAAAAAGTAGTATATTTTGATAAACCATTACCTCCAAAAGAAGAATCACATCGTGATAAAAACACCAAATATCATAAATACGCTCTGAGAGCTTTCCTAGCACGCTCACAAAATAAGCCTAATGTTAAAAACAAACCCAATTCAGCTGTACCTGAGAGAAAGCCTAAAGCTCAAAAACAGAACCTCATTGTAAAAGAAGAAGATCCTTTTGGTGATGTATCAATAGATGATATAGAAACATTCGGTGCTTTTACCCTGACATCCAAACTAAAAGGTGAGATAACTATTTTTTTAACACCAGAAAAGAAAAGATTAAATGAAATTAATGGCCATGATACACATACAAAAGCTAGACAGTCTCTTTACAACCCCTCAACCTTTACAAAGGCTTTTCAATGCCAGACCACAAAAAATTGATGCACATATTTACCTGATCTAAATGTGTGGCCAACAAAAATTTTCTGTTTATTGAAAAAGGATTTTATTTATATTGTAGAATATTCTAAACCCCAAAAATGTGAAATTATAAAAAATGAAAGTAGAGTTAAAAGTGAATCAAGTAACAATGTGTCTGAGCTAAATAAAGATTTGTTTGGATCTGGAAGTGAAACAGACACCCCTTGTCATAAAAATGAAAATAGTTTTGTTCTTGAAGCTTGTTCTGGTACAGACAATGCTGTTTCAGAAACTAACATTGAAAATGAAAGTTTCTCAGAGCTTTCTGATTCAGATCTTACTGATAAGGAATGTCCTAAAAGTAGTCAGTCTGTATCTAAGGATGAAAATGGTGATAATAGTGCATGTTCTCAGGATGCTATAAAGTCAATACCAGAGTCAAAAATGGCCATTGAAGAAAACAACCAAGAAAAGGAAATTAAAATGTGTGAATCGAATACTTCTGAAGGAGCAGTTGTGTCCAACCATTCTACGGTTGCTTCAAATAAGGATTCTGTGACAAATGTTCCCAATACTTTAGAATGCAGCACAGGGAGTGAGTCTGAAGAAAATTTAGTCATTGATCTAGGAGATCTCAACTCGAAAGTCAAAAAACGCAAAGTTGAACAGATATTTTCACCAAAAGGAAAGAAAGACGAAAACTTTCTGTGTAACCCAAAACCCACTAAAGTTATAGAACTGTCAAAAAAAGACAAAAATGTTCCAAATAGAGTTCCATTCGCCATTTTCAAACAAAAATGGAAACTGAAGCCTTTGACCTCTGATGACCTTGACCAAAGTTCTCCAGTGGAAGATCAAAACATTGTGAGATTACGTAGTGGAAGAACAGTCGGTAACCTAAGTGGAGATGAAAGTTCATCCAGTTTCAGCCAATCAGATAGTGAGAGTGTATTCACACCACCGAAAAAGCCACGACAGATGGAAGAAATTACCTCCCCTGATAACATAAGCCAATCAGATTGTGAGAATGAAGTCCCTGTCAAGGTTATTCCGTTAGAAAAACGAGAGTATGGTCAGTTAATTATGGTTCCTAAACAACCAAAATATAAAAAGAAAGACAAATCAGCAACAGAAGATAATGGTACTCCAACCAGACGTGTACTGAGATCTCAGAGGAGATATAATGACTCACATGATCAAAATGAACCAATCGAAATGGAAAGTCTGGCGAATGAAAAGTTGACCTCTGTATCACAAGAAAGACGAAAGTCACCAAGGTATTTAAAATTGATTTTATTTCTGTCTTGCAATATTTTTCATAGGCAGATTGGTTTTTTTTGTGCTAGATGAGAAAATTTAGCCAATAGTCAAATGTTTTTAAACTTTTTTAATTAAGATTGAAAGAAATATGAAATTTTTCATGAATTTATAATTTTCAGAATTTATAGTACTAGCAGTGATGTTGATATGACTAAAGATATTGAAATGAAGGCTGCAGACACACCAGAATCTACAACCAAAGGTGGTGAAGTTGTTAAAAGAAAGAGAGGACGACCAAGAAAGGAATCGAATATAAAACGAGAACCTACCAAAGAGTAGGTTATTCATTCTTGCTTAGTTTTCAGTTTTATTATACGCCCACATGAATATATGGTCGTATATTGTCGTCGCCCCTGTCCGTCGGTCCGTCCGTCGACATTTCTTGTGAGCACTATAGAGACTACAGTTTTTATCTGATTTTGATAAAACTTGGTGTGATGCTTTAGATTGATAAGATCTCGGTCAAGTTCGAATTTGACATATTTACGATGAACGGTTTTTTAGTTATTCCCCTCGACTTTGTTAAAACGCGTCAAAATTTGTTAAAAATAGTTCGTGAGCAGGATTGAAGCTACAGTTTTCAACCGATTCTGATGAAACTTGGTGTGATCATTGGAACTGATAAGATCTCGGACAAGTTGTAACTTGACGCATTTTCAATGAACGGTTTTTGAGTTATTGCCCTTGATTTTGTTAAAACGCGTTGAAATTTGTTAAAAATAGTTTGTGAGCAGGATTGACGCTACATTTTTCAACCGATTCTGGTGAATGCATTTTAGATAAAATGATTTTGAGTTATTGCCCTTGACTTTGTAAAAACGCGTCAAAATTTGTTCGTGAGCACAATAAAAGCTACAGTTTTCAACTGATTCTGATGAAACTTGGTGTGATCATTGAAATTGATAAGTTCTCGGACAAATTCTAAGATGACGCATTTTCGATAAACGGTTTTTGAGTTATTCCCTTGACTTACAAAAAATTGTTATAATTTAATTGTTTGTTGTATTTGGGTTATTGATATTGATTTTAAAAAATTTTGTGTAATTACACAGCATAAATAACTGGCATATATATGAAATTGAATTCAAACTAATATTTTTTTTTCCAATATGAGAAAATTCGTACTTTAGTCACTGTTTTATCATTTCTGACAGCTGCCAGTGGGCGTATGTTACCTTGCCTCGCAAGCTATCTTCTTTAATATAAGCAAATTGTTTTTTTTAAGGGAATTACGAAGGCTGATAAGGAAAAGATGTTTTGTTGTTTGAATGAGACAATAAACTAGGGTTCTACAGACTGGGCATGTTCAGGAGTATGGATATTTCTCAATCTTAAATGACGTTGCCCAATTAGAAAAGATAAATAAGAACTACATTTCAATTAACCTACACCTTTCCTTTTTAATACAGAAACTATATGAAATAAGTACAAGTACTAATTTAATTGTTTCACTGACATATTTCAGCACACAAAATAAGGAATCTGATGGTAACAAGGAGCCTGTAGATAGAACAAGACCACCAGTGAGACGTTCTTTATCACTTGATAAAGAGAAAACTGAAATACAATCAAATACATTTACTAGGGTTACAGAGCTACATACTGAAGATAAATCAACTAGGAAAGAACTAGACCAGAAAGAAAGACCATTAGACAACAAAAACAAAATTATAAGTACGTAGGGGGGAAATTAAAGTGAAAATTTGGGATGTCTAATTGATACTCAACACACAATGCATTGTATATAATAATTTGCCTGTTACTGGGAGATAATCTGTAATTGTGAAATAGGAAAGAGGTTGGAAGTGGCAAAAACAATTTAAATGTTTTATTTGAACCATATATAGGTTAAGACTTTTAAAGAGTAAAGTTATTCCTGTGAATGCCCAATTTATCAACACCTATAATATTTTTAGGTTCGGGTACACCATGTTCTACCAAGAGAAAAACCAAGAAAACCCCAGAAACTAACAAGACTACAGAATCAAATCTATTGGATGATATTTTAGGAAAAACAGATGCAGAATTAGAAAAGAAAAAAGGTAAGCATCATTTACTGTGTAGGTATTCCCAGTTTTATACCAAACCAAAGGACATTGTAACAAGTTATATGAGATGCATAAGGTGTTAGAAAAGAAGGATGTAAAACTCCATTAACCCAGTCAGTTTTAGACCTAAGGTATTGTAACCTTCATCAATCGCATAAGGTGCATATCAATAGGATGTAAACTCCACTTCTTCATTCCAATGAGTTCCAGGACAGTAGGTGTACTTTCTTCATATAGTCAATTGTACATTATTTTTAGCTGAGGAACAAGAAGATTATCTGGAACCAATCGATGGTCAAATTTCATATCATTTATGGAAGTTTTCTGGGTTATCAATGATAATACGAACATATAGTCATGGTATGGTTCGTGATGCAAGACAGACATTCCAAGGTCACATTGTGCCAAAGTTAGAGTATCAGATAAAACACGGTGTGGAGCAGATATCACTGGAGGAAGTGAGTCAAGCATGGATATCATGTTATGTTAAACCATTCAGTCAGTTGATCAGAGGTAAGACTGATTCAGTTCTTATAGTCTTTCACAGGATATAGTCATCTGAATATCTGTTTTATCAGCTGGAATAGCTCAATTTCAGCCATCAATATCTGCTTGGACACCCATATGAAACTAGATGCTATTTTTACATGATTTTTGGTCAGGCTTGTAGTTTTGTATGACGCTCACCCATGCAGGATGTATTGTGATATTGTGGGTCATATCTGCTTGGTTGAATGCTTAGAAACTTAAAAAATTGTCACTTCAACGAAAGGGATGTGAATAGCTGAAATTGAGCTCCATCAGGGAAATTGTAAGATGCAAAACCAACTTGTCAGTACATTAAATATAATTACATTCACTACAGCGTTGTTCTTGACTTGATAGAATATGTAATGACATAAGTGTTGGATTAAATCTTTGTATAGTTCCAATATATTTCAATTTATTTATTGGTGAAGTTCTTGGTTCTGAGTCCTTGACTTACTTTAAATTTGACTGTATATTAGTCATTATATATGCCTAATCTTGTAGGTAGAATCTCAGCCACCACCTCTGAGTTATTGATGATTGAAACATTAGATTTAAACCAAATACTGTCTCAAGCCACAAATTTCAAGTAAGTTTTAGAAACAAATGCAAACTGAACATATACACAGCTCTGAGCGTTGCAAGATATGTTTTAAAGCCTATCATTAGTGAATAAGAAAATATAACTCTTGCGTATGCATTATATAAATCTAGTACACATATCCATGTCACATATTATTAAAAAGAAGATAGAAAGTATATTCTGATTATGAAAACTACATCAATGTGGGATAAATAAAAGAATAAGAAGTGAAATTCAAGCCATGAAAATGTATGAAAGTTTGTTATTTTTCTTAGGAAAGAGGCCCATTGTAATAGAGTTTACTGCTTATGACCTTACCTTTGAGTTGTAATTTTGATGACCAGTCGGTTCTTCTTGTTTTTGTATATATTTGGTATTTCAGTGTAATTGGAGCCTTGTGCAGTTTACATAATATTTTGATGACAGTTTACAGGTTTGTTGATAGTGACTTAACGGGTTTATTCACTCCATGTAAGGAAGGCATGTTGCATAAGATAATATAAAAAAAGTACTGTTTTTCTGTTGGAACAATAATTCGAATAGCTCTGTATGGCAATGTCTTCCTTTGTATGAGATCACTCAAAAACAAAAACAGCAGAATGACTTTTCACTTTCATTTCATGATTCATGGTTATTTATATATACAGTCAGTACATTGGATATGGCAATTGTATTGAATTGTACAGAGCAGTCATAGGCCTTAGGTGCAAATCCCCCGACACTATGATGCAAACGACAGCAATTGAGAGGTTTTCTTATACATAACTTAAATTGTTTTCTTCCAGTTTAGAAAATGGAACATATTTATTAAGTCATGAAGCAGGTGAAGCACATTGTCATATCAAACAGGCGTCTCAGTACAAACGGTGAGTTACAGTAGCCCTTTAATTCACATTTACATAGACATTGAATAACAGTGGATGTCAAACGTTAACTTGATGTCTGATAAGAGACTATGATATTCTTGGCCAGCCCTGAATCTTGGATAGATCTGATGTTGATTATACATACATTTGTGGATTGAAAATGTAATTTATATTCGTGAAGGTATAAAGTTAGAAAATATTGCTCAATTTAGAATCAAAAATAATTTCTTTTAAGCAATCAGTAGCAGCAATAGCAGGGAAACTGAAAGGGACAGATTTGATGTTACCATACCTTAATCTCGTAATTTTTAGCTAATCAGTAATAGTGTTCACAACTTACCATCCAGATATACTTTTGAAAGTTAAAAAGACATGTCTGTTTTTGATTTTGAGACTATATCATAATATATAGTAACACGAATTGCTTAATAAATGCTACCCTGGAAAATCTTGGGTTTAATTGTAGTTCAGGTCAAGAAAGTGAATTGAGATATTATAAACTGAACAGTGTCTTCATTAACCTTATAAGATGCACAGAAATAGTACAAGTTTTGTCTTCATCTCTCATTATATTTGTGTACTAATTGTCCATCTGTAATGAATTTTGAAATTAATGATTGATGAAAATATGAAAAGCTGTTAAATATGATGATACATGGGAGATTTTATTTTTTGTTTTGAATGGTAGATTTTCTTTTTTTTAAGTCTGGCATTTAAAAACAGGAAATGAGCTTGGATATTTACCAAGTAATCATTTTTCTATATGACTCACAAATAATTCTGTTTCTGTCCTTACAGTGGTGCTTATGACCTTCACTTTAGTCATCAAGGTCACATTAGAGTAAATGAGATGAAGAACGAATGGTTTCCTATAGACACCAATATTATTCTTCCTCACCATAAAGTTCAAGGTCGAATTCCTGCTACATATGAACCAGAAGGTAAGAAAGGTTTTTTTTGGGGTATGGTGAAACTTAGTTTAAATTTGATTTGACATACATCTTGACTTAGTTTCAGTCGTCAATATTTATGGATAGCCAATCAAATACACTGTTTACAGTTGACTGATAATACAAGCCAGAATATCTCAAAATCCTGTCATATTGTCGACATAATCTCGACGAAAGGGCACTTGATAGGTTATTTGTGTTGCATAATGAATTCATAAATTCACTTATTTTAACCCTTCAACCAACATCCAAGAAGAATGTCGACTTAAATCTTTTTGATTGAAGCTCTCTTCTCAAGTCAAACAGATATTTCTAAATTAGATACAGATGCACATATTTTAATTACATCAGCTGGTTGGTCAACAGAATATTTTGTAAATTTTTGAATTTTTCTCTTGAGTAGTTATATGATATGACTCGACCAAACTAGACTTATTTGTGGTGCAATGAGCAAGAATTTGATTTTTAAAATACATGCTGTACTTTATATTGTAGATTTTAATACTGGAAATAATTCTAAGAAACGAAAAGGAGGAAAGAAAAAAAAATGGAATAATAAAAAATAAAAAATAATTCTAGAAAACTGTGTCTTTTTCATACGCCAATTTTATATTGTCGTCACCCATTACCGTCCGTACCTCCACAATTGCTCGTAAACACTGTAGAAATCACAATTCTTCACAATTACCCAAGGAATAACCCTATTTAAAATCAGATAAATTGAAAACTGTTTAAAATGAGTTATTGCCCTTGTTTTTTAAATGCTATAACACACTATAGAAAGCACAATTCTTGACGGATTGTAGCGAAACTTGGTATGAGTGTTGGTTATCACCCAAGGGTAAAGCCTATTGAAAATCAGAAAAATCAAAAAAAATTAGTATGAGTTATTGCCCTTATTCTGGAAAACGCGTTCAGTTTTAAGCTAATTTTTCATAGGGTATTTATGACTTTTAGTCAATCAAATTCAAAAAACAATAAAGTTTAGTACATTTGCTATTTATGAAGTAATCTCTGTTTATATACTTAAAAAATGATGGCCAAGTTGAGATAATATTTCGAATTCGCTGCAGCTCCAGAACTAATCAAAACCAATTTTTATACGCCCACATGAAATGGGGGGGCGTATATTGCCGTCACCGATCTCCGTCCGTCCGTCCACAATTGCTCGTAAACACTCTACAAGGCACAATTCTTGACTGATTTTGACGAAACTTGGTATGGTTGTTTGCAATCACTCAAGAATGAACCCTATTGAAAATCAGACGAATTGAAAAATATTTACTAGGAGTTAATTGCCCTTGTTCTTGAAACGCTCGTAAACACTCTAGAAGGTGTAATATATGACGGATTTTGATGAAACTTGGTATGAGTGTTTGTTATCACCCAAGGATAAACCCTATCGAAAATCAGAAAAATAGAAAAATATTTAGTATGAGTTATTGCCCTTGTTCTTGAGAACGCGTTCAATTTTAGCTTGTAAACACTCTAGAAAGCACAATTCTTTTGACAAAACTTGGTGTGAGTGTTTGTTATCACCCAAGGATAAACCCTATTGAAAATCAGAAGAATCAAAAAATATTTACCATTTACTAGTTATTGCCCTTGTTCTTGAAAACAAGTTAAATTTTTAGTTCGTAAACACTCTAGAAGGCACGATTCTTAACGGATTTTGACGAAACTTGGAATGAGTGTTGGCTATCACCCATGAATAAACCGTATTGAAAAACAGAAAAATTGAAAAATATTTAGTATGAGTTATTGCCTCTGTTCTTGAAAACTCGTTTTAATTAGTAGCTCGTAAAAACTCTAGAAGGCATGATTCTTGCTGGATTTTGACAAAACTTTGTTTTATTATTCAGTACTGCGCTGAAGATTGAATATTTGTCTTCTAGAGTTTTCACAAGCTAAAAATTGATCACGTTTTCAAGAACAAGAGCAATAACTCATACTCAATTTTATTCAGTATCGCCCTAAAGAGTTCAAAAGAAGTGTATGACTGAAGGTTGAATATTTCATACTGGTGATTGTTACTGTACTGATAAATATCTTTATTTAAAATCAAAGCTGCCAGTGGGCGTATATTACCTTGCCTGGCAAGCTATCTTTATAAGACTTGATGTGTATCATAAGGTGTGATAAATTGTTTTTAGCGAACATATGTAGAGTTATGTACCTTGTTTTTGAACTCTATGGCACCTTCTTTTATAATATTGTATTTTTGTTGTGGTGGTCATTATCACCTTTGTTAAATTGACGACGATATTTCCGTGTGCTATCGGTATAGGTGTTGTCTAGATACAGGTAATATTGAAAAATAAATTATATGAAATTGATATAACAAAAAAAAACACAAGGGGTATATTATGGTATAACTCACTGGTTTACTCCATTCCATGCAACAGTGGTGCCATCTACATTGGAGATTCAGTCCACACCAAAGAGCACCTTACATCCGCCAAGAAAGAAGATGCCATCTCAGCCCTGTCTGAACACCTCATCAAGTGCTCATTCCACCACATCCTCTGGGAAGATAAATCCATCCTTGCTAAGAACCTACCTGAAAACAAGCAAAGGAGAATCCTTGAAACCCTTGAAATCCACCGCTGTTTCCCTGAATTGAATAGAGACACCGGACACGATTGGCTACACTAATCCCATTGTTAATTACCTTGTTAATCTTTCCCCTCTTTCATCTTTCTTTCTCTATCCCTCTGTGGTAATAGTTTTGTCTGTACTGTTCTCATTGTCTTCATTACCGTTTTTCTTCTGTACATGGCTTCCTTCTTGTTATATATCCTCATGTTTACCCCCACTACTTCATTTCATCTGATGACGACACGTGTAAATTGTGTTAAAACGTTATGTGCTTTGTTATTAAAGAAGTGAGTTATATACGGAAGCATAGAGGGGACATATAATACAGAATAAAAAAAAATCTCATCTCCTGGCCACGACTTAGTATCTCGCGACCACAACTTAGTAACTCGTGGCCACGACTTTGTATCTCGTGGCCACAACTTAGTATCTCGTGGCCACGACTTAGCACCTCGTGGCCACGACTTAGCATCTCGTGGCCTCGACATAGTATCTCTTTTTATATGTCTGACACTCAAAATGATACCGCGTCTATGAGCCAGAATGATGGCGATATCATTATATGACATTCCAGTATCAAAATACATCCTTAAAAGTACATTCCTTTCGTTGTAATCCATGAGCACCACCTTTTCCCAGCAAGTAAGATTTATATGACAAATTTATACAAAATGGGAGGCAGCAAGTCGAGATAGATAAGTCGTGGCCACGAAATAGATAAGTCGTGGCCACGAAATGCTAAGCCGTGGCCACGAGATGTTAAGTCGTGGCCACGAGATGTTAAGTCGTGGCCACGAGTTATATTTTTTTTTTCTCGTGTCCTCTCCATGCTTCCGTAGTTATACCATAATATACCCCTTGTGTTTTTTGTTGTATCTACTCTCCACTTCTAAATGTCGTTCAAATCTTATCTATATGAAATTGAATATGAATTCTATGAAAAACTGTCATTGATAATTGTATTTCAGAAATTTAAAATCCTAAAATATCTGGTTTGTAACGGGAAAAGCATTTATGGTGTTATTCCTCTTTTAATACAACCACGCGAAGTTTTACGACATTTCAGTTTGTATGTAAGGGATGGGTTGAAAGTTTTTTTTTTGGATAAAAGTTTAAGAGAAACTCACTCGACACGCTATCAGACAGTGAGACTTTCAACTTTCCCATATTAGCAGGCTTCTGTCTGTAAAACACCTACAGGACTCTTGCTAGCTAAGAAAAAATATGACAGGGAAGAAAAAAGCATTCTTATTATAAAGTTTGTAAGCAAAGCATTAATAAAAAGTTTATAAAGGAATGCAGAAAGATAGTCGCACTTTCAGATTAACATGTTGTACACAATAAATAAAATACACTGTTTAAATACACATATTTTCATATGTAGTTCATACAGACAGCAGCATAATACACATCTACACAATGTCAAGCAATTACGACCTTCAGCTTATATCTTGACTTCCATAGCCGCCTTTCTTGTATCGCGGAATGTAGCAATTTGATTGGAGCGAATACAGACAATCAGAGCCCTAGACAGAAAGACTGTAAACATTATGGCTTAGTGTCCGTATAGGCCTGATATTGTTTAGAAGCAGAATACAAAGAACAGATCGTGTTAGTCAATATCCAAACCTTGTCATCTCTTGTGTGGCCTTTGATTGTAGTAAATAAAAATCAGGTAAAAACATTTGTCAAAGGCTATACAAGAGATAACATGGATCACCATTCATGAACTGGAAAAGCACATGCGTCTTATAAAGCGAAAAAGCGAAGGTAGCCAGGCGTATGATATTCAAGTACACTTAACTAATGGTGAGATCTGGCTGATTTCGGCCAATATGCATCTTCGCCTCGTCAAATCATTAACTATTTGACACCATATGAAATAGAATACCATACTGTCAACTGATGTTTATTATTGCACAAGTAAACAATTAGCTAACGACTGAAAGTAATGACCGAAAGGAAAGGGGTCATATACGCGTAAGCCTGTTCCCTTATCCTTTTTTCTTATGAATAAAATATTGTTTACAAAAGGTAATGGCCAACTTGATTCTAAAAACACACCGTGGTTGGTCGAGCATGTTTCCTTGTAAAAGTTTGCTTAGTGGTCTATGGTTAGTTGGACCTGTGATAATCTACGGTTATATCCAAGATGACCTTTCTCAGACTTACATATTCGAAATGCCTTTAAGAAATCTAGTCATATGCATGATTTCAAACGGGTATTTATATTACCTTAGTACACAAAAGAGAATTCTACAGCAGGAAAAGAACACTTAGAAAATCTGTATTCGATGATTCTCTCTATCACTGACAACAATGTTACCATTAGCCAATATAGCCAATCCTTCTAACGCCTTGAATTGTCCATTTTCATTACCCCACGAACCAAACATAGAATAGTAGATACCGTTTGGACGAAATATCTGGACGCGATTGTTCCCACTGTCAGCAACAGCAACAAATCCTTGCTCGTCGATAGCTATACCTCGCGGGTATTTGACCTCACCGTTCCCAGTTCCGGAGTCGCCAAATGTGAACAGAAAGTCACCGTACATGGAAAACACTTGTATTCTATGGTTACTACTATCACTGACATAGACTTTATTGTCCGGACTCACGGCTACATACTGTGGATTATCCAGTTGTCCCAAATCGTCTCCTTGTTCACCGAAACACCGAACAAAGGCTCCGTTCGATTGGAATACCTGTATCCGGTTATTCTCTTTGTCACACACGTAAATAAATCCCATATTATCACAAGCAATACCCCAAGGATAACACAGTTGTCCCGGCAGAGATCCTTCTTCACCGAAAGAAGTGACAAAATTGAAACTATGATCAAATATTTGGATTCGGTGATTGTACCTATCTGAAACTATCACCTGTCCTAGGTTATTAACGGTGATTCCGGCCAAACAATCGAACTCGCCTTCCTCTTGGCCGTACGATCCAAACGTTCGACGGTAGTCACCGGAGCTGTCGAACACTTGCACTCGGTGGTTACTACTATCTGCGATGAATATCGTATCGTCAATTGGAGAGACGGCTACTCCTCTAGGCCAGGTGAATTCGTCAAATCCATTACCACGAGATCCAAATCTTACTATAGCCCGCCCTTTCTGGTTATACCTGTTCCTGGGTTCAGCCTGATTGGAGGAGCGACCTGACCCTTGATTTTGAGAGGAGCTCGACGAGGGAGGCTGATTATTTCGTTGTCGTTGTGGTCTTTGGTAGGAATTGCGAGTGCTGAGATCTTCTTGTGAACTTGTGGACGATGAATTTTCAGGTGGAACTTCAAGACGACTGGGTGGGCGAGGGGCCGTGGTATCTCCTGCAGTTGCATTGCGAGAGTATGGGCGATTTCGACCTGCTCCTTCGACATCGTCGTCAAAGAGCTCTTCTTCACGAGGTGGTGACAAACCTCCGAGACTTCTCCGGCGATATCGCGAAAGAATGCCTTCCTCTCCAGAAACCAGTCCAAGTCTGGTGTCCGAATGATGTTCGCGCCGTGGTCGTCTACGTGGTTGGTGAGCGGTGTTTGTTCTTGAAGTATTTATTGTATTTCTGTCATCGTAATTGTCAGAATCACTTGCTAAGAGATCCCTGTGTGAATCATTCAGCGGATCGCGATTTAAATACGATGGCAACAGTCGGCGCCTCTCTGTCGTAGGTGACGATGTCATAGGACTATGAGTCTGTGTTAACGGACTGTGTGTGCCTAGAGCAGATGAGAGGCCGTAATCCGTGTCCATGTTTCTCGATGAAGGTCGCGAGGTATAACTCTGGTATCGACTGCTGGTAGGACGAGCTAAATCCACCAATCGACTGGCTAATCTACTTCCTATGGACCTATTATCTATGTTGGCGCCTCGAGATCCAGGGCGAGCAGATATCTCAATTTCTCCAAAAGCAGCAATCGTTTCAGAAAAGGTTTCAATATCAGCATTAATGTCGATTTGCCGGACAGCAATTCTCCTCATGTGGCTTCCTTCGAAATTTTGCGTTATGTTGCAGTTCTCTTCGCATTGTTCATGAAGTTGCATCAACTCCGTTCCATCAGTTGTGCTTCCATGTCCCACAGCACTTTCAGAGGAATCACAAAAACTTGCTAAACTTGCTAATTCAACTTCAAAACTTTCTTGTTGAGATCTCAGATTTTCTAGCTCCGATATTAGAAACGTGTCTATTTGATCCAAAAGAGATCTTTGTCGGATTTTGAAATCACGTATTAACCGTTCAAACATTTCGTTTATCTCGGTTTTCGCACTTTCACATCGCTGTTGAGCTTGACCTCCTTTAGCACCGATATCGTCAATGGCACTGGAAATTTTGGGCATTCCTCTTTTAATTCTGTAGATCATTCGCTCAATCTCGACCTTCACTTGTTCCATGTGTTGTCTGATACAGATGTCGCAAATCTGCTGCTGGCAATGATGGCACTGACTCAATCTACTGGATCTAAAACAGCTACTACAGGTTGTTCTGGGAGGGGGTTGAGCCACCACTGGGTGATCTATTCCTGAAAATAGTGAAATATTATATTTTAAAAGTAGTAACGTTACGGTCTCTGAACCGGTTACGGGTAAGACATAAGCAGTATTAACTGACAAACCCAAACTCCGTATACATACATCATAATTTATCAGTACATATATGAAAGGTCAATGGCATTGCTAATTTATCCCTTCTGCTCTGATGAAAGCTTTATATCCAAAACACTAACTGAAAGAGATGATCTGCACTTCTTTATAGAAAGCGAAACCACATCTGCAAAATAAGTGATGAAAGTGGGTTACAAAGTACCTACCTAGATCATTTCCGTAAGAATATCCTCCGTATCTAGAACACGTTTCGGTTGCAGAGGGCCCCGAACTCTTTTTGCAGTAGGCATCAGTTTCAGAAAGTTTCACAGAGCTTACACCACCCTCGTTTCTGTTTAGGGCAGGGATTCTGGGCTCACCCAAAGACAATCTCGGGAGATCCATGAATCCCATGACGGTAATGTTATTGGGGAAGGCAGACGTCCCCCCTCTCGGTACCAGATGATCTGCTCGACATTCTGGACACTTGATCATCCGGGTTCTTGGATTGATCAATTGTTCCAAACATGGTGATTGACAATATGTATGTTGACATGGTAACAGTTTTGGTATTTTGAATCTGTCTAGACACACGGAACATTGTAACAATTGTTCAATATGGCGGGAAGAATACGTTACATCATCGTCCTCCATTTTGAATTATACACGAATTACCTTCCCATGGTTTAAGTATGATAGAAGATCTTTATCTCTCCATCTGTAAGTAGAAATAACAACCAAATTCAATTAAATGAGTTATCTGAAAATGAAACCAATTGAGAAGCCCGTTCAGACAGATAACACCTTTTATCAGCTACTAAGTTACCTAAAAAAAAAGCAAATATTCGTTGAGGTGGTTGATTTGCCCGATTTATTTTTCATTATGCCAATGATTGAAAGATTCATTATATATATTTCCCCAGCATGTATTTTGTCTATTCCCTGTCTGAAAGGGTATTAAAGGGATACAAAAGTCAGAGAAACACCCATATCATTGTCTCATCTCACACATATTTAATGAATTATGTTCGACTGTGCTATGCAGATATGTAAAGAAAAGCCCCGGAGGTTGGACCGCATCGACGTTTGTCTAGAAAGTTTAATAATATTTCTCCTCTAAATGCATACACAACAATTATAGTTTCATAGTATGAAAGTAATTTTCATTTCGACACCAATCATCACCCCTACTTGATCTAGAAATATTTCTGCCTCTTTATTGTTGAAATGGCCAATATATTCAACGTGTGGCTTGTGCCAAGGAAAGCACTTAGTTTTTAGAAATAACTCATTTCATCATCAATAGCCTACATCATCGTCTATTTTTATAACCTTACAACTAGATTTATTATTTTCTTTAAAAAGTCGAGCATGTTATCTCGGATGCCAAAAGATATCACAATCGGAATTCAAATCACGAGAGAAGGAGAAATGACATGTACCTATCAAAACTATTATTCAAATCTGACACATACTTATTAATAGTAATGTTCAAATCACAAGGAAAAAACTGACATATAACTTTCAGAACTATTATTCATGATTGAAAACTTCTCATGCCTCCACTGTACTGTAAAAGCAGGAATCCTCTATTATGATAAGTACTGTTTTCTAGTATCAGATAACAGTAGTCTTTCCAGTACATGTACAAGTTAACATAGTACTAATAAGCTAATATTTTGAAGTTTCGAAGTTCAACACTTTCATCAAGATGTAAATCGAAGTGAAATCATGTCTTTGTTGGGAGATAAGATGAGTAAAGCTGGTAGTAATAAGATGGGGAAAGAACTATAGTAGCATGATATACAGGTGTAAAATGTTATAACAATAGGTAGTTAGATACACCACACCTATTGTCAGCTTACCATTTCTTTTCGATTGTTACCATCTGTAAAATATATTAAACTATACAGCATTTAAATAAACATCGCTCTCCTCAGAAAATGCTGACTGCTTTGTATGGGGTACATCTTTGATCTGACGATTCTCACTATGTTTCCGTGACAAAGCAAGGCGGGGTTTATTAACTTGATTTCTATGTCCATAGACATCTAAATATAGTAAATCATTTTGGTAATATTTGTAATCGATATGAACCATTTCCACCCCCCCAAAAGCATTAGAAATGACCAATGTCACATAATATACAGTTTGAAGAATGATACATAAAGTTAATTGTCGATCTGGGTCAGGATGATTAGAATGTGTCACAATTTACAAAATATAATTGATCTGGTTGATTTCCGGTCACGTTATGTTATAGCATATGAAAATCTGTAATGCAATAAACCCCCGGTTCCCAACCTGTGGTTTTTTCACTGGGACTACTAGTTGTCAGAGGTGTGGCCAACTGGTGTAGGAGAAGAATTTGTTTTGAATTGAGAGAGAAAACCTCACATCTAGGTGATTGCTCCAGCGGTGTGAAGACTGAAAAAAGTTGGGAACCACTACACTTAAACCATATAATGTATATTAAAAATTCTTAAAAAAGTAATCTATCTTTAAGATAATGCTTTGATCATGAAATGTTTCAAGGTTATGCTAAATCTGGCACTATTCGTTTTATTGTCGGCAGGTTTATTGAGCTTTATTTAACCAGCTATCTTCATTGACTGTAAACGATCGTTTGATATGTCCAGAATGTGCCAAATATAACATCCTGATAACGTGGCATTTCTCAATTTAGGTACCTCTGAGTTGCTGTATTTCTAAGTTCATAGTGTACATTACATTACATTACATTACAGTAGTGCATAAGTACACATAAACCTACACAATTATAGCAAGCCATATCGGATAATGGATTTTTAGCATAATGTCCATTAAGGATAAGGAGTTTCGCCCAACTCTCCTGTTTTGCTATATATGTTCTGCTGTTTAGTAACCTCTCTTACTGTATAACGTCTGTTGACAAATACAATGCATTTTTTGTTCAACATTTTTATGCTTACTTTTCTGGAGTTGACCAATTTGATACTGTTCTACAAGTATGCGTTTTTTCAATTCTACTGTTTAGCAATTTTATGTTTAACCCTCTACTGTTTTACAACTGTAAGCATCGTTTACTGGGTATTAATATCAGTGTGATTCAATAAAGCATCTTTAAACTATTATCGTATGTGATATACAGTTTGAATGAATCATCTGGTAACTAGATATCAGTATAAGTTATTGTTTGAGGTGTGCATTATAAACAGTAGATAAAACTGATATTCAGTTAGTCCTGACACTGTTAACATATATCTCATGTTGAACATTACGCTGATAAAGCAAATTTAACTTTAGATAAGCAAATTAAAACTCGGTTTCAGTTTAGCTCAGGGGTTTCACATTTAACCTTCTATTACTCCTTTCAGCATCCTTAACCGATTGACCGCACCCCCTTATTCCTATAAATCCTTACTTTTGCGTGATTTTCTCTTAGACTTTCCTTGCATGTCGGAGAATATAGCCTGACTGAATTTTATACTACACTACAAAGCCCCTCATTAACCCTCAAGGATTTGATAAAAAATCCCCAAGTTGAAAACCCCTACCTAAGACAGAGAGATATGGCAATGGTATTAGCATTGAGTATTTTCAAGAGCAAACATCCAAATATTTCCTATACCAGTTATCTCGGCATCCTTGCAGTCATTCATTGGTAACAAGTTCAAAAGCACCGATAGCATGAAGTTATTGGAAGTGCACGTTTTCATAAATCCGTGATGGCCCGACATCAGGGATTTGAAGGCAGCTGGCCCAACAAAAGGAAGAAGGCAATTCAGACAACTAAACACCATACACCATTGCACGTCCGGATATATTACTTTCCACTCCGAACAATCAAGTCTGGCTACTGACCTGGCCCCTTTAGAATGGGAGTACAACTATATTAATTTTATCATGAAAAGAACGCCAGTGACCTAATAGCCTGAATATGATAATAGAATCAACCTAGATGTTTCACCCTTGCTACCCTGATCTACATCTCAGACACAATAAATAACAATAACTCACTATCTCTATCTATAGTCTTCAAAATCACTGTTATTCCCATCAACTTGCTTTCATATTTTACATTTTAGTTTCAATCCTGATGTTCGTGTCGGTTATTCTATCTGATTGAATAATGAGGTCAGAATATTTTCAGAAATCGAGGAATGGACCGTACTGCAAAGCCATAATTTTGGTTGGAATTTGGAGAAGTTTCGGGTTAACTTTTGCGAAATATTTATAAAATCCTAATGAGAATACCGATATAACCCTAACCCTAACCTATCAAAACTATTATACAAATCACAAGAAGAAAACTGATATATACCTATCAAAACTATTATACAAATCACAAGAAGAAAGCTGATATTTACCAATCAAAACTATTATACAAATCATAAGAAGAAAACTGATATGTACCAATCAAAACTATTATACAAATCACAAGAAGAAAACTGATATATACCAATCAAAACTATTATACAAATCACAAGAAGAAAACTGATACTGATATGTACCAATCAAAACTATTATACAAATCACAAGAAGAAAACTGATATATACCAATCAAAACTATTATACAAATCACAAGATCAAAAACGACATGTACCTATCAAAACTATTATTCAAATCACAAGAAGAAAACTGATATATACCTATCAAAACTATTATACAAATCACAAGAAGAAAACTGATATATACCAATCAAAACTATTATACAAATCACAAGATCAAAAACGACATGTACCTATCAAAACTATTATACAAATCATAAGAAGAAAACTGATATATACCTATCAAAACTATTATACAAATCACAAGAAGAAAACTGATATATACCAATCAAAACTATTATACAAATCACAAGATGAAAACTGATACTGATATATACCTATCAAAACAGGAAACAGGCGTGTACCTAACTTAACTATTATTCAAATCACAAGAGGAAAGCTGAGAAACACCTATAACAAAAAACTGACAAATTGAATTTCTATTAGCTATCTAGATGCTATAATTTTGTATTTTATCAACTACAAAGGTCAAAAAGTCTTTTTTTTTATCCAGACTGTACATACATGGACATTTGTGATTGGTTAAAACTAATAATCATATACAATTAGAACATAACGGTATGATATGATAATTCATTAGAAACATATTAACTTAATAATACAAGGTTAGCTATATAGGCATTTCGAGAGGGATACGTACAAGGTTGGCCATGTAGACTTTTCGAGAGGGGTATGTACAATGTTAGCTATGTGGACATTTCGAGAGGGATAGGTCAAGAGTAGCAATGTGGCCATTTAGAGAGGGATACAAGATTAACTATGTATACATTTAGAGGGGGTACAATTTCGCGAAGGTACAAGACGAGGTAAAACGACATTTGGAGACTGGTACAAGGTTACATATGTAGGCATTTAGAGAGGGAAACAAGTTTACTTATGTGGGCATTTAGAGAGGGAGAGAATGTTAATTATGTGGACATTTAGAGGGGGATACAATGTAAATTATGTGGACATTTAGAGAGGGATACAATGTTAATTATGTGGACATTTAGAGGGGGATACAATGTTAATTATGTGGACATTTAGCATTTAGAGGGGGATACAATATTAATTATATGGACATTTAGAGGGGGATACAATGTTAATTATGTGGATATTTAGAGG